AGTAAACCAGAGAGGCCGGTCAAAGACGAGGAAGGCAAGCCAATCACCGAAATTCAACAACAGCGTAACAGATGGGTAGACTACTCCGAGGAACTCCTGAATAGGCCGGCTCCAATGAATCCACCGGACATCGAAGCAGCATACATAGATCTTCCTATAGATGTCAACCCACCAACGACGGAAGAAATTAGAATGGCCGTCAGACAAATGAAGAACGGGAAAGCAGCAGGACCCGACAACATACCAGCTGAAGCACTGAAATCAGACATCGAAGCAACCACAAGCATGCTTTATCTTCTATTCAAAAAGATTTGGAAGGAGGAACAAGTGCCGATGGACTGGAAAGAAGGACACCTCGTCAAGATTCCAAAGAAAGGAGATCTGAGAAAATGTGAAAACTACAGAGGCATCACAATACTGTGAGTACTAGGGAAAGTCTTTAACAGAGTTTTGCTGAACCGGGTGAAAGACGTAGTAGACGCCCAACTTCGAGATCAACAAGCTGGATTCCGTGAGGATCGATCGTGCACAGACCAAATCGCAACACTACGGATCATCGTCGAACAATCAGTTGGGTGGAACTCAACACTGTACATCAACTTCATTGACTATGAGAAGGCATTTGACAGTGTGAAAAGGAGGATTTTATGGAAACGTCTTCGACACTATGGTGTGAGTATCTGAAAAGATCGTCAACATAATACGGAACTCATACGATGGACTACTATGCAAAGTCGTGCATGGAGGACAGCTGACAGATGCACGCCAAGTAAAGACCGGAGTGAGACAAGGCTGTCTACTCTCTCAATCTTCCTCTTTGTTCCGGTGGTCGACTGGATTATGAAGACCTCGACATCTGAAGGAAAACACGGAATACAATGGACAGCTCAGAATCAATTAGACGATCTGGACTTCGCAGATGACCTAGCCCTCCTATCGCATACACACGAACAGATGCAGATGAAGATAGCCAGTGTAGCAGCAGTCTCTGTATCGGTAGGCCTCAGCATACACAAAGAGAAAACCAAGGTCCTCAAATGCAAAACGAAGAACAGCAATCCAATCACTCTTGATAGCAAAACTCTGGAAGATGTAGAATCCTTCACATACCTGGGAAGCATCGTCGATGGACAAGGAGGTTCAGATGCAGACGTAAAGGCGAGGATCGGCAAAGCAAGGGTCGCATTCCTACAACTGAAGAACATATGGGACTCAAAACAACTTTCAACCAATATCAAAGTGAGAATCTTCAATACGAACGTCAAGACAGTTCTACTGTATGGAGCTGAAACTTGGAGAACTACAACAACCACAATCAAGAAAGTACAAGTATTTATAAATAGCTGTCTTCGCAAGATACTCAACATCCATTGGCCGGATACCATCAGCAATAGCCTTCTGTGGGAGAGAACAAACCAGCTTCCAGCTGAAGAAGAAATTAGGAAGAGACGATGGAAATGGATAGGACATACACTACGCAAATCGTCAAACTGCATCACGAGGCAAGCCCTAACTTTGAATCCTGAAGGGAAACGGAACAGAGGAAGGCCAAGAACACGTTATGCCGGGAAAAAGAAGCATATGTGAAAAGGATGAATAACAACTGGAAGGAGCTGGTAAGGATTGCCCAGGACAGGATTGGATGGTGAATGCTGGTGAGCAACCTATGCTCCTTCACGAGGAGTAACAGGCGTAGGTAAGTAAGTACGTTATATTACTTATCGTGTGTTTACGGATAAATAGCTTCTGTATTCAGTAATTTTTAAAAATGAATATTACGCTCATACATCAAAAGTAGTAGGTTTGAGGAGTGTGGATGGCATAATATTTAAGACTATTGCTTTTTTGGTGGTTTTTGTTAACTGAATAAAACAGGTGACACGGTACGAGAAAAGTATTTTTAATTAAAAAAACACACGAGTTTAGTAGATATTTGGTCAATGTTTAGGCTGCTGCCAAAACTGACAATATTCTAGACTGACTAATCGGCTGTGCCAATCTAAACGTATTAGCCACTTGTGAAGATCTATCGTTCTTACTTGTCGATTGCGTTATTGTTTTGTCAATTAAACGGTCTATGAACACATATAGTGGTTTATGATCTAGATAAGCCGGTTTTTGTCTATCAATACCTACGGAGTCGATGTTTCCATGTTTTTCTATCACGAAATATATATTTCCTTGAGATAACTTCGAAAGACTGTTCAAATGGAGGGTTAAGTGATGCTTTTATTTTGTCACACCTTATTTAGATCTGCGTGCTATTCCTAAGACCCATGGGTATATAAATGCCTCGCGATTGTTCACGACTATTATCTATTTTGAGTTTGGACCTATGGTCCCGTAGGTGGTCTATGTGACTTTATAGATCAACCTTTTTACTGTCGGTATGAGGGTTAGTTGACTCTCCCGGTTGTCTCAGAGTCGTTCCGAAAAGCAGTTCCGCCGCTGAACACTGTGGGTCATTTTTGACAGATGTTCGTATTCCCAACATAACAAATGGTAAGAATTCTGTCCACTGACAGTGGTTTGAGTGCAATATAAGTGAGGCCTTTAGTTGACTGTCGACACGTCCAACCATCCCATTAACCTGAGGGTGATATGAGGTGCAACATATCTTATTGGAGCCTGGAGGTTTAGCTAAGTTGTCAAATAGTTCAAATTCAAATTCCGCTCTTCTATCCGTAGTTACTGTTACAGCTGCACCAAAAATCTTCACTCAGTTCTGCATGAAAACTTAAACCACCGTTTCGGCTGTTATGTTCGTTATCGGTATTCAAGTTGTCTTACGTTTTCGTATCGTTCATATCGGCAATGAACATACATAGTGTGCATTTGCCCAAGACTATCATCAACGAATAGCTAGAACAATGGAATTCTCCAGCATAAAGTTGTTGTTGTTCGTTACTTAAATTCCATATGTACGAAAATATCTAACCAAAAATAATTTAGAGTCGGGCCATCTTTGTATTTTAATATACTGATAAGACATAGTTACTTGGCGTATACTATGCAAAGAATCATCAATCACAGAAGTCTAATTACCTTATGTACTTCTTTCACGAAGGTCTCAGAATTATCCAAACAGGCAAATAGTCGCGATCACATAATACCACCATGCATCGTTACGATGTCATCACTTTCGTTACTTGAAGGATGAACATTATCAGACATGGTGTGGCTGAACTCAAATCAAATTTAAAAGCGTTTTGATTTGACCGCTCCCACAGAACCTTACAAATTGTTGAGATAACGCACTAATCGTTTTACAACAGTTTAACCTTCAAGTGCTCAGTAGACACCACCAATCGACGGTACTAGTGGATCGTTGCCCATTTTAGCGTCATAGCTTATATCAGTTCCTGATAAAAAAATTTAAGTGTAACCCCTCACCCTAATATACAGCTGTAAATCCTAATGACAATTCTTCACACAAGTTTGTAACCAAGTACGTGGCGGTTTCAAGGTCGCCTCGGCCAAAGGTCGTCCGTAAATCAAGCGGCAACATTTTTTCTGGAGCGCCAAAAGACTGGAGATTTAAAGGTCAAGGTCCGGTGGTGATGGCACGGGCACTGGGGTGAGCAATGGGTTTTCGCGCACATTATCCGGGATTTTTTGTGTCGTTGTTTATAAGCTATTAACAGCCTTTTTCCCGCCACGCGTCAATTTTCGTAATGTTTGTGATTGTTATATAGTTTTTATTCCAATTTATTAGCTTTTCATATAGCAAAAGATGACTTAAATATGGGAAAACCTAATATTCATACTACCCAACACACCCACGGCAATTGAAATACGGAATGACCGCCTGTATTCAGGCCGTTCAAGGTCGTTGAAACGAAACGGCGGACAGATTTGGAGGGGTTTACCGTTTTTAGGTATGGCAACTTGGACCGATGCATATATGCTCATGGTCCTAAGTTGTAGCTAACTGACTGGCTGCGTTGATAATCCTGGACACTTAACTAGAAAGTCTCCCCAACCTAAATTAGATTCCAAATAAATATAGTTGAATGGGAGTAATAATTATAGAGCGATTGCTGTAAGTTTATAATGTATACACAAGGATATTCTAGTCTTCCTCATCTACTTGCGCTGACAAGCCAAAATCGACCTGAGAGTGTGTCACAACATAGCCTGCATGAAACATGCATTAATTCAATCTATGGCCTGCTAGTACCTCCCCTTCAGATTCAGATTTGTGTAGTAAGGACAGAAGGCCTACAGCCTATGTTATTCCTTTTCTAGTATGCTTCTGTGAGTGTCCAGTCTTCCCTTGAAAGAGTCAATTGAATGTGCGGACACCACTGCTTCAGGCAGCAGTTTCCAAGTATTGATGACTCGGTGTGAAAACCTGTATGCCACGGGTATTTTGTTCGTTCTTGGCTTTTCTACTCGCCTGCTATGTCCTCTGAGGTGTCCCGATCTAGTGGGAAGAAAGAGAGAGAATAAGTTAGGTCCGAAATCATTTCTCAGTATTCTGTACATCAATATTAGATCTCCCCTTAGTCTGCGATAGGACAGAGTAAAGAGGTTTAGTTTTTCAAGCCGCTCTTTATATGATAAACCCCGGAGTTCCGGAATTGCACGCGTAGCTGCCCTCTGTACCTTTTCTAGTATGTCTAAGTCACCTTTTAAACAGGGGCTTGCAGCCTGAACACAGTTCTCTAACTTTGTTCTCACTAAGGATGTGTATAATGTGATGAACATGGTAGTATCAAGCTTAGTGAATGTCCTTTTTAAAGCCCAGAGGGTTCGAAACCCCTTAACTGCGACCTCCCGGCAATGGGCTGTCGTCTTAAGATCATTGCTCACTGTCACCCCTAGGTCCTTATGAGACCGGACTACGGGTAATGACACATCCCCTATGTTGTACGTATTAACCTTTGAATCCCCCAAGTGCATGTAGACACACTTTTCCGAGTTGATAGGCATTAGCCACTCTTTAGACCAGTTTATCATATTATTTAAGTCCGCTCGAAGAGTAAATGCGTCTTTGTCTCCAGTTATTACTCGCCAAATTCGTAAGACCTGGTCTTAGGTTCCACTCGTATCGCGTGACTAGCATGTGCTTTCAATCTGTTCACTTAGGCGATAAAGAAGTGGTACCACTCCCCATCTGCACAAAAACTGCCCTATCCGTTTATGGAGGTTTAATTTCAAAGGTATCTAGCAGGACATCAGGAGTTTTTCTATGTCGACTCTCCTTGCTTTAAGTTGATTAGCATGACGTACCAAAACTTTCGAGCCGATTGACTCTTCATAAACAACATTTCATTTCCTTTGTATGATTAAACCAGCTATCGATGTAGGATGTTTGTCACGGCAGTCCATAGCAAATATTTTTTGACCCACAGTAAATAATAGTCTTTATCTTCATGATTTCGATTGAATTACTTCCCCATCGATCTGTTTCGTTGAAGTTGAAGGAATGGCACCGGACAGATGGGATCGAAATGGTTATGTACTTTTCTGATTAGTAAAGTTCTTGCTGGAGAGACCCCGTCATTTTTCTGAGGATTCGGTTTATAGCAGTAGATGAGCATGAACCTTCCTAAAATCTCTTCGATGACCGCCCTCCCTTTGATTTCTGTAGAGTTTTTTAAATGTAATAAAGCGTTCGACTTGGCTCCCAGGATGTAATGTAGGTGTTTGAACGTAATTTATTCCGTTCTGCCAACAGAATTCTAGGAAGATAGCGGACGTAAACTTTTTCAATGTCGCTAACTATTAACCCTGAAACCCTGAAAGGGTTAAATAGGTGACTTAGTTTCTTGATTGTGCAACCTGAAGTTAGATGTTCCATGAGAAAAATTTCTGGCCGCTTCCTGTACGCATCAACTACCAGAAGGTCAGTTTGTCAATGGGGTGGACCAACGAAGACCAAGTATATACGCTGTCACTGTGACAGGTGTTTGTCATGATTGCGGCTCCGCCTTCCGCGGTGCTTTCTTTGCTAATGCACATTTGGTAAACGAGTTGGATAGTTCCTCAAGTTTGGGTGTCAAAGTGTGGAAGTATGCATAACTTCATACTAGCGCTTCCACGCGATTTATTCCAGGATGTCCTGCATGCAATTGTTCAAACACTGCTGATTGAAGCTTCTTTGGGACTATGACACGTTCGGCAAACAGAAAGCAGTCATCAATGATTGAAAGCGATAGTCTACACTGGAAAAACTGCTGATTCTCTGTGGATCTGATCTTTGAGAGCTACTCTTCTAGGTGGAACTTTCTAACTTCATATAGGATTGAGTCTAGAAGAGTTCTTTTACTTCATCAGGTGACACTGGTAAATGTGCTTTCACAATGGTGTGGTGACCAAGGTTAACCTTAAAAACAGGGGGAAAATTTTCCATCCCACTTGCCATTAGTACAGATATCGGGGTGTCCAATGATGAATACAACACATTACAGACATTATTGATAGGTTTAGCCAATATTCCAGGCTTCTCTAACATATTTTTACTAAGATGAATGTTCTGTCGTTCTATTAGATAACATATTCCCTTATTGTTAATTTTATTAAAGAAAAATTCTCACTGTAATTCGTCAACAGGTTTTAAAGCAGAGGATCCTCACTCACGTTCTTCTCCATGCTCCCCTAGTACACAAATTAACTTCTGACTAGACATGAAATGCTACAACATATGTGCTTCTTAAATAGCCAGAATCGCACATAATCCCAATCACTACATAATCAACAAACAATCGTTGATTTGTTATGGATTGTTTCTAATGTTCTTGGCTCTTGGTTTGAACCTAGTGATATCGTTGATACTACTGCAGGTGAAATTCATATTTACCTGTTTGACTAATTTATTGTCATGTCTGACGTTTCCCAGCCTTGTACATCCATCTCTTAGAGTCTTGAGTGTGCCGTTTGGATTTTAATTTAGTCGAGTCAAGAAACTAGTCCTAATCTCGACATCTTAAGAGCTTTGATGAATAATAGGCACTTAAATTGATCCGCCATTAATGAGTTTAATTCGAACTGTTCACACTCATTGCTGAAATCTTCTTGAGCACCATAATCGTCGGCCTCACGCTTCACCAAATTTAGACACTGATCTCGAATACTAAACAATAAGGATGGCTCATCAAATACCTTTAAAAGTTGGGTTACCCTTTCTTCGAAACTGAAACCCCGAGGTAATTTTGGCAATATGTAGTCAACTTCATATGTATGTTCATTGCTTTCCAACTTGCACGTCAACAGTCGGGCGTTTCACGCGTCATATTGTTTGCAGAGCTGTATTCTAAATGTATCTTCCCAACTCTTGAATCACGTGGTGTAGGTACTTCAGCTCTTAGGGTTATAACAGAATTCTAAGAATGCCGCTGGCAAATGCATCATAAGCTGTGGTTGACATAGCATGTGAGCCTAAGCACTAAATGTTAGGCTGTTGTATAAGTTCTTAAAAGAAGCAATCTTCAGTCTTTATCTTCGTAATTTATATTTCCAGTTTCTTATGCTTGATTACTTCTAGTTATCAGTATCATTAATTTTATCTCATTATTTGCTATTCTAGTGACTTAATGTCGATAGTCCAGTGTAAAGTTTTGCAAATTATACCACAGTGCAACTACTTTGTATCTGTTCATCTTGTTTTCCCAATGTTTTTCAGTTTTTTCTCATTTGATCGATACGTGCTTTTAAATTGCATAATGAGACAAATCCATTTACATTGTGATGCTTCATGTTTTTCTACTTATCTATCAAAGTTCGCTTTTACAATATCAACTAAGTAATCGATTTCTGTCGTGTTTGGTGAACTAACTGATTCCCTGTACTACTAATACTATTGTTAAACTCTAATTTTGTTGGAGATATATGGTTTAACATAATATAACTTTTCATTTAATTACAGGCTTAATGCAAAATAGCAGTACCTACTTCTCCTACTGATAAATGAATTTGTTCTTACCAAGAGGTTCTTATGTGTTTTCGGTATCGACAGCCACCAAACTTCGAGCTGAATGGCCATATATCCAAATAAATATTACACATTCATATTCATCAACTGATAAGTCATCTGAATTTGAAGAAAATACTCCGACTCGGAAACTCTCACCTGAATTCCAGAAAGCTATTTCCCATGGTCCAAGTCTTTCTGAATTTACCAAGCTAGGCAATAACAATCAGTCAATTAAAGATTTCTTCAGTTCCCCGAGTTCAGTTACTAAATCAGAAAAACGGTAATTTAATCATAGCAATTCATGGTATATTACCTAGGTGAACCAGTCGTGTTTAGTTTGACTGTAGCATGTATTTTGAATATTTTGTTGATAAAGTGACAACTTTTTCTAACAGGTCCAGACCGTTGCTGCTAACTTGACGTGGTGGCTAGGCTTGCCTAACACGATGAACTACTTGGGCTATACTTATTGAAATAATCGTTCCTCAGGATCCTACCATGCCAGACAGGTCGTTTGAAGAGCAATAAGACTAAAAGCAGCAAACCTAAGGTTCGAAGGCGAAGTCGTACTGTTGACTGTATAGAGACGTGACAGCAGTAAGGTGTTTCTCTTAGACAACCAGCATAGCACTGTTGCTGCCTTCTCACAAAGGAAGGGTGCGGTTATAAATGATCCACCCTAAAAATGCACACTTCGCCTTATCCCACGGATATCCGTCTCTGGTGGTAAGGTCTCAACAAGTACGGAGCTAACACGAAAATTACTCACAACAAGGTCGTGTGTGACCGACCTCGCGCAGTTCTACCTTGAGCACTGCGGTCACGCGCCCAGATCACTAAGACCACCTCTAACCCAATTTATTTTTCAGCTACCTCCAGAAGAACCCTTCCACTGTATGGGCAACCGGGAAGTGATAACCGACCTCGTACCTTTAATAGCACTTGAGACTACTTCGTTCATAATGAATCTCCCTCTTCAATTCTCATTATTCCTCCTATGTTGACTTTCAACTTGGTGCTTCGTCTTTTGACTTCCTCCTCATCAAGTATCACCATGGCTAACGCCTTTAGTGCACGAAATACTGTCCCACTTGTTCCTTCAGGATTGGCCTGCGTCAATACTTGGACCAAGGATAGGGAGTGAAGTAGTCGAACGCATTGAAAACTTCACTTATCTTGGGAGTCTGATCAGCCCTAATGGGTCGGTGTCTGACAAAATCTCTGCACGAATTCGGAAATCTCGTTTGGCTTTTGCCAACTTACGTCACTTATGATGAAGGCTAGATAACTGTATATCAATTAAGGGACGAGTGTACTGCACAGCAGTTCGTTCTGCTTTACTTTACGGCTGCGAAACGTGGTCATTAAGTGTAGAAATGTTTCTTATTACTACCGTTAAATTAACTGCTTCTATAAATTTGGTGTCAATCTTTTTGTTCCAATGAGGTGTTGCAACTGGGACCGATGCATGTATGTGCCTGGTCCTACGTTGTAGCTGACTGACTTTTCTAACAGGTAAGCTTGTTGCACTCCATGTTTATTGACTACACAGTTTAAAATGTTAGTCATTGTATTTGTGATCGTTTGAAACTCCTTTGTCGTGTTCAAAAACAGTTTCAGAATAGATCAAACTTAGGAACTTTGAATCTTATGATGAAGAAACACCTTTCAGCTACTGAGTTTGGAATATGTAGTGCACGTTTTTCAGCTTCACTGATTTTACTGAATTAAAATTGTAGCACGATAGCTTGGTGGTTTTAAGCTCATCATTTCAGTTGATTTTCTGTTTCCCGGTCCTGTATAGTTGGTGGTGTGTGTGTGTGATGAGTGTTAAACTATTACGAAACATTGGTTCAGTGTTCTCAGGTTTTCAATAGTCATTCAGTTGACTATAGATTATGGTATAATCGACCACCAAATTATATAAAATGTTCACAAAACCTCTGTATAAATGATAACCATTGTATTCACTTGGAGTTTAAAGTCTTAGCAAGAAACCATCACATGATCTTATGCTTTCTGTTTCTTTCGGTGATATGCAACCACTTTTCGAACCTGAAAACTATAAACTCGCTATCTTTTTGATGACTGCAAATTAATTTCTATCGATGAAAATCCGCTTGAAGTGTTGCTTATCCAAAAATAGTATTTATGCTGTTTTAAATGAATTCTGTGATTTGAAGATTTTTTCATAATTGAGTAGATACGTGAAAAGTGAGTCGCATTACTTTTTATTTTCCACTTGAATATAGTGAAGGATTAAATACTCACCATGAAATGTGTGTACGAGTATACTTTAACGGTATTCGGCTTAATCGTAAACCTTCATTGATCATATTCTCATGACCATCTTTAAGTAGTGTGTATTTTTAAATATTACATAACTAATTATATATTTCTTTGGTTGGTATGACGCTGAATATATCATTTCTATTTACTTTATAAACTTTAGCCTCCGTCTTCCAGAATGGTTAAAGACTGAGATACCATGTGGTGGTAATGTAGCGCGTTTGCAAAAGCAGCTGCGTTCCCTCAATTTACATACCGTAAGTTGTTATACACTTTTTTTCCGAATATTTTCTTCGTATTTTCTGTTTTAATCGACCTTCATATGGTTTAGTTCACAAAATTTCAAGTCTCCATTCTATCGTTTACTATGAGTAAAACATAAATAATTGATTAGCATTTTCGAAGAAAATAATGGTTGGAAAATCCCAGTGATGTCTTTTTTTATCAACAACACTTAGTCTCGGTTCCTATATTCAGTTAACTTAAGTTTTTAACAGCATTTTTGTTTTGCTGGTAAATTGGTCTAGTTTAAAGTATGCATGTTTACATTTTAGGAATAGATAATCAATTCATTCATCTGTTTAAGATAACTAACTGTTACTAAAATTTTGTAGCCTCTTTCGCTGTCCTTAGTAACCTAAATTCCGAACCATAAACTTCCCAATATATTGAGTACTTTCAGTATTTATGCCATTCCCTGTAATGAATCATATGGAACATTACATATGATCCATCTCCTTCATTTTCCCCTCACATAAACTGATAGCGAAATCGACAACAGTTTGCTCACTGGTAATCAACAAAGGAATGTAATATTAAATGCTATTTTTAGACCATCCATACTTACGGACTACAAGTATTGTGGTGTGTGCTACTGGTGTCGACAGATATAAGTAGTATGCATCATCAATCGAAAGTGAAATGTCTGGAGGCATAAGGTTAAGAAAATCAAAGAAAAGAGAACAAGAACGAAGAATGATTGGTGTGGAAACGAAAGAACAGTGAAGTCTGAGACGATTAACTGAAATTCGCAAAAGGAACAGTAGTTTGAGATGATTGATTGACGTTTTGCAAATTAAGTATTTACTGTATGATTCTCAGATTTTTCCAAGACGTTCTGTAATTTTGTGTTCAAATACATTCGATTGTTCCACTTGTGTTCTCGTTTACTACAGCATGAGTTATTTTGCGTTTGCCATTTATGCAATATATATACAAATTAAAATATTAAATTTCGCAACGTTTATATTGGGAAAAATTTAAGTATAGCCCTTTGAAGTTTTCATCAATTGATGTTCGTCTTCGATATTGTAAGAATCAAAGGGAGTTAGAGTCTTCATAGTTTCTTTGTTTATTATAGGTTTGTGAAGAAGCTCGATGTCCTAATATTAGTGAATGTTGGACTGGGGGAAAGTCTACAGCCGCCACAGCTACAATTATGGTAAGTGTGTCTATGAACGTGAAACGGCTTAGAAATAATGAAGTTTAATGTATTTAGATGACGAACAATAAATAACACATTTTCCGTTTTAACCGAAACTGCTTATTTTTGTTATACATTTATTCTAGTGAATATCTGTTTTCATTTTTACCAGAATTCATCATCTATCAACCTAAATAGCAGATATTAATTCAGTAGGCCCCTGATTTGCCAATTGTATCTCTTTTAAAGCGTTTATTATTTTCTGGTTAGGCTTGTTTTTCCTCGCTTTCCTGTCTTTCGTGGATACTGAGAACAATTCAGAAACGTGTTATCAAATGTAACAATCGCATAATATATCTCCGATTTCGCCATTTTGAGGGTAATTTATATCGGGTTCTGAAAATAAATTAAAATAACATGTCAGCAAGGAGAATAACATTATTGTTCTGCGTATTAACCAATTTATAGCCAAGATCATCATGTTATCTAATAGGGATATTGATAGCCAAAATCAATCTAGTAGAATATTCGACTCAAAGATAAAACTATTCTTTTCATGAGTTTGTAGGTATCAATGCCAAGGTTAAACTTGATGTTTTCAAATAACTTGAGGATTGGGTAGATAGTTAATAATAAGTGTATTTTTTTGTGATATCCGAATGAGTAGAAAATTGTGTTTTTGACCTTTCGTGACTGTGTGAGCTGCTTCACAGTAAATAAAAATGCTTATTTACTCTGAAGAAGTAGCTTACACAAAGTCGCGAAAGGTCAAAAACACCATTTTCTAATCATCGGAATATCACAAAAAATATATTTATTACTATTCTACTTAGTTTGATAAAATATGTTAGGTGTTAACGTAAGAAATGTGTTTCATATCATTTACACACAATTGGATCAGGTAGTTGAAAGCTATTAATGCTCTTCTTTCACTGTTTATTAAATTTCGTGAAATGTAAATGCTAAGGATGTGAGACTATTTAACCAAAAGTCTACCAGGAATTCGCAAATTTCTTTATTCTCCGTCTGTTTCTCTAAGTTATCTACTTATTTGTAAATCAAAGCGATTAGTGTAATGAGATAACAAGAACTGCCTCACTTGAAATATCATGATATTTGTAAGGAATTGATAAAGAAATCATATAGTGCTAATAATAATAGTAATAATAGGAATCATTAAAGGTAATTGTTCAAGAAGGACAACAACTTAGATGCCTTTCACTAATTAAAAATTTATAAACTAATAACACAACAACAACAGCATCGTCACTCCGGCTTCGAGATATGTTCCATATAGTTTAGGAATGCTGAGTATATTATTATTGGGACGTAATCCGACTGTCATATGCTAAGACCAATACGCTCCACTTTTTGTTATTTCACAGACCGGCCACTCTGTTTACACTCAGTCCAGTAATCAGCAAATAGCACTTGACATAGAACCTGCAGAGATCTGTAAAAAGCTAATCTGAGTGTTATTTGTGATTGGTGAGTTCATATTTTTGAACATCAGCACTACACGGTGTCCTACTTATTCCTAGCAATTTTTTGGAGATCACGATGATAGGATATAGTTCGGTGACTCCAATTTTCACTAATGTAAATCAGAGCTGCGGAGTTGTATCTCCGATGTTTTACAATAAGATCATTATTGCTAAATCTCTAAGTGTTCCCTAAATGGAAGTGGCCTTCGCTACATAGGTTAATTTGTCCTCCACATCAATATCTATACTACCCAGATTCCTGAGATTGTTAATCATTTTCATCCGCGTCTGCCAATGCCATGAAAGAGGCTACCACTACTTTTGTGCAAAAATCATGGCATGATGACAAACGTTTGTCAGTTAAAGTAATGTATTTTATCACTGAATATAGACCGATTATAGGTGGGATTTTAACATGGAGAATAGCTACTTACAAATAATGATGATATTTCAGGTCATATTTATGAATTTTATACATACCACTTCGTGACACCGTGAATGCTTCAAGTTTTCTTGTTCATACTTGTAAAAGCATTAAACCACTGGAATAATCTATGGAATTGTGCGCACATGTAGAGTGGTTTTCAAAAAGGGTGTAAATGACTACTTTGATGTAGAGCGTTTAACAATCTTTTGTGCAGAAACCCCATGAAATTCACATCAGAACTTCACGTAATCTTATTAGTAAACACGTCGCCAGCGTTGTCTTTCTTATGTTGATTATCAGAGACCTATTCAATTTAACAGCCATATAGTTACTGTAAACATGCACTTATATGATCTCGGTGGTTATTTAAAAGCAGGTGAATTATCTTACAATCCGAGTAAGCTATCCCATCATTATATTTCTTTACAAAAATTGAGAAATAACTAAAAATGATTATTAATGAACTGAACGAATTAGATTAAAGTAGTACCGTGTGGTTAATATTTAGAGAATGAGTCAATTTACTTGATACATTAAGCAGCAAGTAATATATTAAAACTGTATTTCGAACATATTAGGTTCATTTATTATTTAGGATATCAATATTTTAACTATTCTTCTTTAGATAATGGGTGATACTTGTACTAGAGGTTGTCGGTTTTGTTCTGTTAAAACTTCATCAAATCCACCACCTCTTGATCCAGACGAACCAGTAAATACTGCAGAAGCCATAAGCAAATGGGATGTAGACTATATTGTCATAACATCAGTTGATCGTGATGACTTGGGAGATGGAGGGGCTCGACACATATCTAAAACAAGTAATATATATGTTAAATTCTTTGTTCGTTCTATTTTTTACCTAGTAATGCAAATATTTTGTCAATCAAGACAGTATTCGCTGTTAGATATCAGTGACTTACTACAAAATCCATCTTAAAAACCAAAAAAAATTAGTTAGCGCTTCTAGTATATAATACAAAATATCCTTTCTTATTCTGACCTTGAACTTAAGGTAGTTACCAACTATGATAGTCACAACGTTTCATGACAGTGTCTGCCACTGAAGGGCATACCAAAATAGTACATGAACTTATACAGGCTCCGTACTTGAACACTGCTGGTAGAGTCAGAGCTTATGACGAACTGATTACTTCAAGTGGTGTTTGTCAGGGTTTTCCGCTTTTCTCACTATTATCTAACTTTGTTACAGACATGCATTTAGAGATAATGCTCTCCCCTTCTGACTTGTCAGTATTTATTCTTCTACCAGAGGGCTCACCTATTGACTTAGAAATCGGAGATGAGAGAGAGATTGTTCTGTTTGGCTATAAGACGCTTACAAAATGTAGAGGTATGTAACCGCTATAAGCAACAATGCAAACATGTTTTGGATGCGGTCCTCTCCCTCCAAATGTAAAATGTAACTTCAAATTTGGCTTGCGTCATCGCCTTAATCAGTAATAGGCAGTGAAGTAATTGAGCGAATCGATCGCTTCATTTATATTGCGAGTCTCGTCAGTCCTGATAGGTTGACGTTTAACGAAACCTCACGTATTTAGAAGGTTCGATTGGTTTTTGCCAAATTGTGTCACCTGTGACGCACGCGAGATGTCCGTTCGGCAAGCAAAGAACGAGTCTACTGCGCATCAGTTCGCTTCGTTCTAATCTATGGGTGTGAGGTTAGACAAAGACCTCTAAGAACAAATCGAAAATTTTTTGATGAGGTAGGAATTCTTTTGAGGTGGCTGAGATATGTGTTACGTTTGTCCAACCACAGACTATGTCGATGCTAAGTGGTGTAGATGTAGGCTGAAAGGAAACTAGAGGTGACCAAACCAAGTCGTGACATCAGTCCATAAAGTCACTGACAACTGGACTGAGCTATATTAACGGATATAGATTACCTGGTTGGGGTCCCCTTGATTATCATAATCAATGGTTAGAGACTTTGGGTGATATGGCTCAGGTCGTCTCCCAGATTATAAGTTTTTAAATTGCGCACCATTTTTCCCTAATTTATACTTTCTTTTCGAGTGGTATCTCGGATGGCTAATCTTTCCTACTACCACAAATAACGTTACTACTTTTGGGACGGCTTCGAGAAGCAAGATGAAGCCTCCAAAGGCTAAAAACGAGCCAAAGAGTTTCCATCCAATAGGAATCTGATAGTCAGTCAGCTACAACGTAGGACCAGGCACATACATGCATCGGTCACAGTTGCAACACCTCATTGGAACAAAAAGATTGACATCAAATTTATAGAAGCAGTTACTTTAACGGTAGTAATAAGAAACATTTCTACACTTAATGACCACGTTTCGCAGCCGTAAAGTAAAGCAGAACGAACTGCTGTGCAGTACACTCGTCCCTTAATTGATATACAGTTATCTAGCCTTCATCATAAGTGACGTAAGTTGGCAAAAGCCAAACGAGATTTCCGAATTCGTGCAGAGATTTTGTCAGACACCGACCCATTAGGGCTGATCAGACTCCCAAGATAAGTGAAGTTTTCGATGCGTTCGACTACTTCACTCCCTATCCTTGGTCCAAGTATTGACGCAGGTCAGTCCTGGAGCAACAACTTGCATTTAGAGGAGGAGAAACGCATTGCAAACGTCCTGATATTGTTGCTCAATGCTACCAAAACACTGCATTTCATCTGTGACTTCGCCAAACAGGATTATATTATCTGCGTATTCTAAGTCGATAAATGGAAAGAGATCATCGCCCGGAGATTCAGTCGACGAGAACGTTATTTCTATCAGTAGGTCTGTGATGAAATAGTGAACAGCCTTGACGGACACCATTTGAGTTTGCGAAATCAGATGATGGTTTTCTGTATGCTCTGGTTTGACTGGTAGTGTTCAAGTAAAGAGCCTTCACAAAGTTTATGTACTTCTGATTGATGCCTTTCACTGCCACAGAACTTTTCGGTTTACAGACTGGAATGCTGCTTTTAAGTCAAGTAACAATATCAATGTCGGACGCCAATACACATACTTATGTTCTAAAATCTGATGAATGGTGAATATGTCGTTGAAGCCAGTCTGATTTTCTCGTGTTTGCAGTTTATGGGTCTTTTTAAACGTGATAATTATTGAGGCTAGTATCTTAGATGCTATATTAGTCAAACTAATTCCTCTATGGTTATCACAGGATGATTTTGACCCTTTCTTATATATTGGGACAATCAGTGATTGTGACCAGTTAGATGGGATTACGTCCAACTCCTAGATTTTAGTTAATATATTAGTCAACGTAATCGCTAAAATTGGACTACAATACATAAAGACCTCTGGAGCCACTCCATCTGGACCATCTAATCTTCCTCATTTCAGATTAATTATGGCCTTTTGAAATTCAGATAGAGTCGGGAGATCTACTTCAATGTTCGATTTAGGCTGTCTGGAATGGTGGGTAGTTGTCAAGTAACTGAAGGCCGGCTGAACTGTTCCTTAAAGTTTTCCGCCCATCGTTTTAAATGTCTGACCTGAGAGCAAATAAAAGCGTCGTCTTTTTTCGAAATAGAGCTTTCTAGGATATCAACGTGGCATGCTCCTATTGAAATATAGCATAACTTGTCTCCTTGCGGATTGGATGAATTACAATGTTGTTATAGCCAACGCCAAGCTGAAAATTCAATCTTATGCAAAGTCTGCTTATTTGTATAGGATTGTATGTAGGCAATTACTATAAGCGTAAGCCCTAAATATGATCAAGTATTGATATTTCACTTCCAACTTACTGTAGGTGTTTTAGCTGAGTTGTAACACTATTAAAATACGTTCCACTCTTTCCCCCATACTCACAAGTTACGAATAAAAGTTTTGCAATTATTTTATTTCCTAGTTCGCCAAATAAAAGCACGTAAACCATCAATTATAGTTGAGTGCTTAGTACCAGACTTTCAAGGGTGTACAGACTCTATTCATACAGTTGTTCGTGCTAGTCCCGAAGTATATGCGCATAATATTGAAACTGTGGAGTCACTACAACGGTGAGTGTCTTTAATCAAAAATATGATTATTCGCATACACCAGCTTTGAGTAATAATCCTGTCATTACAATTCATTAATTAAATAACTAATAGTCCAGAACTGGAAGACTGGTTAACAGTAAACAATTATATATATATATATATATATATATATATATATATATATATATATATATATATATATAATTGTTTACTGTTAACCAGTCTTCCAGTTCTGGACTATTAGTTATTTAATTAATGAATTGTAATGACAGGATTATTACTCAAAGCAGTTAAGTGTAATACTTTCTTTTTTGAAACTAAAATGCCTTCCAAAATATATCGCATAATTCTATAGAATCAAATTTTTGAAGATCGAAGAAATGTGTAACTCTAATAACCTAATCGATAATCCAGTATAAGGCATTTTATAGTTAAACTGCTGGTGTAATTGATATTTTAGCACTAAACTTAAATAGAAAGAATAATCAATTAAACGTTAACTGTTTGTACGGTGTATTCAGCTTTCTTTATGATTATTTAGTGTAATATAATTATATTCCCAGAGCTTTTAAATTCTTTTAGTGTTGTGAGGGATCATCGAGCTGGTTATACTCAGTCACTTCGAAACCTAGAGACTGCAAAAGAACGTAGTAACAGGCTTGTATCATCCGGAAATTCCGATTTTCTAGTCGTCACAAAATCCAGTATTATGTTGGGTCTTGGCGAGACAGAAAAAGAAGTAATGATAGCTCTTAAAGACTTACGTCAGGCTGGAGTCGACTGTGTAACAATTGGGCAATATGTACAACCAACTAAGCGTCATCTAAAAGTGAGCCAATGTCAGTTTTTGATTTATTCTAATTTTACTAAAATAAATAGTTTTTCCGACTTATGAATAATTAACACCAGAACAGAATTCATGACACTACAACTCCGTTAGGTTTATTTTTACAACTAATAGACTGGTCTATTAAAAACATTCTTTTCCTGATTTCAGATATAGAGAATAGTACTCGTACTGTAATAATGAACTACTGCGTTATAGGAACTATGATAACTCCATTGATAACTCATACAACAGAAGTGATTCATCTCAACCCTTGATGAACTAAATCAAAAATTGTGTGAATCATTCGAATACAATATAGTAAATTAGTGTAACATTGTACCTAGTCGAATTTTCTATGAGTGAATAATTTTTTCAAATGATCCACTTTTTAAAAATTAAATAGGATGTTGGATCTGTGTAATTTAGGAAGGCAATACACAATAAGCAGTTTGTAATCCTTTTCCTTTCAGATTGTTATGTGTTGAGTTACCAAGGAGTTTCTCTTTCCAAAATTCCTTAAGAAGTTTATTGACTCTGTTTACGATTGTTGCTTCATTCGAGCTACAATGGGACGCATCTAAACCTTTTGAAAAAACATTATTGAAATATTACATTAAGAATTCCTCAAACCTCTGGAAAAATATATTCATAATTTATCTATCATAAAACTAAACGAAAGTGGAAGTTTTAATTGAGATGATTAATCGACCAATGTTAGACCACCATAACTAAACTGATTATCATCACGTGCTCACTAGTGACTAGCTTCCCGAGTTAGCTCTCGGAGATGGTGGGTAAGATTTGTAGCTCAGGTGGCTGACATTGATGGGGCTTTGTTCTCTGAGCTGGATGGTCTTATTGTTGAGCTTTCATCGTTCTTCTGAACGACATCATCGGCACAAACAGAACTCCATCAGACTAATTCTCGGAGTTTTAGTGTGAAACCGTGACCAATGTGAAGCAGTTACCCACCGAGTACAATGGGAAATGGTCGCGCAATATTGTGGATTGGTTAAAGTTAGACATTAATACCGACTCATAGTTTTAAATATTAGTCTAACATTGGTCGTTTCACGATCTCCGTTATAATTTAACAATCACCACAACCTTATACTAATAAAACTGGAATTGTAGCTCTCCCTCCGAAAGATTAATAAGATCTGATAAAGTTTCCGGCCTTATAATATATTTATTTATTCATTTGAGCACATAAATATTGGTACAAAGGAGCACCAGATACATATACGCCAAACAAATCACTTGATTTATATGTGGGCGGTGATACTGCCTGTGTACTCAGACCAAATGAGGTGGTTTACTTAGAGGAGGCACACCCGGAGCCTTTGACCAAAAGGTCTGATCCACAAGGCAGTGGAGCGACGTCAGAAGATGCAGTCCCATGTTAACCGATGACCAACAATTGGTTTATATGCCATTTGTTCCTTCAGGATATTGGAGCCCATCCACACCATTGGTTTGGAATCAGGGTTTTCCAACTCCCCTAGGTGGATCCTCCATATCCACCGACCCTGTTAAAACGCCGGACATTCGCTTTTCGTCCTCTCAAGTTTCTAAGCAACAGCCTCGCCGCGAGAAGGCAGTGAGTAGGACTTCCCTGGCAGAGACTATATGCGCGTGGTCATGTGAGAGCATTTGGAGAGGGACAACTGTGTTATGGCTCAAAGTGACAGCCGATTATATGACAGTGACTTATCGATTGGATCGAGGATTCAGAATCTCGATAGTCTATTCTGGTCCGTTGTCCCCAACTCTGCTAACTCGATCAAGAAGTCTGGGTAAGGTGTAGAAAGTGTATTCTACAGACAAACAGCAGATAACAAGTCAGGCAGGCAGATCAGATCAAGCATACAAGTCAAGCGTATTTATACAAATATTTACAATCGATATTGTCATGGAAGATTTTTGAACATTAATCAACAATTGACTGCTATTTGAACATTTAATCGATAGTTCATCAATTGACCTATCTGCACATTTAATCGATAAGTAAATTACAAAATTTGAGTTTTGGGGATCTATCGTCCCCAACAAACTGACTCTCGACCGTACCGGGGCATTTAAGGGCGGTGTTGTAATAATATATTGAAGGGATCTTATGTGTAAAATGTTACGAATAATCAACGATATACCAAAATTCCAGGTTGACAAATCTAAGAAAAATTCCATTTGTAACAATCAGAACATACTCAATAAATATCATAAGGAATTTTCGAAAGACAAAGTCATTGGCAACTCAACTCACAACAATCTGAGGGTAAAAGGATCACAGACTGCCTTTTGTGCATCGTTTTCCTAATGTACACAAATCCAAAATCCCATTCGGATCTATAATGTCTGGTAAACTTATTATGTCATAAGTTCACTTAATAGTTGTTTGGATTAGTAGGACCAATTCATGGGAAAATGGCGCCCTATAGTTTAAAAGATGTATTTCATTATTCCGAAAAAATGAATCATTCAAATATATCAGATAAATAGGTAATTTTTTAATTAATGCTGCGTGAACATATTAATTGTTAAACAGTACCTTTATATTGTTGGCTGTTGTAGTTATTAAACTTGACTGTTTTCGTAAGTCATAAAATCTTGATATAGAAAGCTATTACTTATAAACTCCTTTTGATTATATTATAGTTTAGGCTCCTAGCCAACTCTTCTTTTTAAAAAAATATATTTTCTCTGTTAGATAAATTAGGTGACTCAACACTACGTGTTAAGTGATTAAATCGTTGAAACTGGTTTTTCTGGCGATGAAAATAATAGACAAATTATTATCCTCACCTAATGATTGTTTGAATGTAGTGGTTAAGTGCTCCTCAACTAACTGTAGGGTTACGTTTTAGTAAGGGTATTTCTATCACGAATTTCCAAATTTGGGTCCCACTGAAGCAAAAGAGAAACCTGATCCATTCTCTCTGTATCAAAGTTAGATGTACCTGTATTGGGGATACAATCGATATCGAAATTGATAAACTACGGCAGATACTGGTTAGCAATGGATACCCACCTAGATTCATTGAGAAAGATTTAAAGGCGGAACAACAACGCGAAAGTTTCTACAGCACCAGAGAAAAGACTTCATGAACATTTGTTTCAAAGATACTGCAGCAGAAAAATTTTGACAGGTTTTAGAGATCTCTGAAACGAAATCTCCTTGGTTTCCTTCTTTAGTGACACAATGGGTCTTTACTTCTCACTCCATACTACCGCCATTTCTCTATCATCAGTAATTATTCAGGTATATAAACTGAATATGTCAAAGATTAAATTTGGCTCGGTATTAAATGTTTCTGCGTAAATAGAGATATATATTGCAGTCCGTTGCAAACGACGTAGGATCATGTGTAAATGTGGATCGGCCTAATATTATGGTTCGAAATAATGAGGAAAGTTGGTCAGTAAATAGTGTAAAATAATATTAAAACTGAAAATCTAAAACACTGATCTTAAATCATCACTTTTGAGTTGCTACAAGCCTATTTTGAGCCGTAAACAACGATTATCACCACAATCTGGTATTTTCCCACATTACCTGAGGTGAGAGAATGAAAATAGTTTGATTTTCGTAGATATAGAGACAATGCACTGGGCAATCTTGAATGGATCATATGCCGTTAGTTGACAAACGCCCGTGGACTAGGTAATATAAATGCACTCGTCACCTAGTCAAAATTATGTTGGGGATGCGAGGTCTCGAGAGGTCATTTGGTAAGCATTTTATTTTTGTGATTTCATTTTGGAAATCTGAACTTCTTGTTTTCACTCCAAAAGCACCCATTTTTACCTTCAGATTGTATTTTCCACTTGAAAGGACTCTAAATATCATTGATTGACTGCCTCTTTTAATATACTATTTTGTGACGTTTTCCAAGGACATTTTTATGCTGTATATATACACTTGAGTTGTGTGCTTGTTATTGTCCGTGCTTCTGGCTGCTTGTGGAATACACTTTCCCTTATCTGAATATGGACTTCTCCCTATAGTTAGTGCGACTGTGACGCACTGGAATAGTTTAGCTGTCTTGTTGTTGTGTCACTGATCCTTCGTTTCGTTAGCCGATTTAGGGTGATCTCGTAATCTCTTCAAACATAGCAATTTGGCGACGAGGATGGTGCAAGCATAAATCTTTTAAAAGTGGAATTGTTCTTGAAACAGCAACTGATCCAAATGTTAGCAGAAACGAAAAACTGCTACTGCCACACAACCAAGCTCATCCAATTCTACTACTGCACCGTCAGTTGATGGCATCGCAATACAGATGCCAATGTTAATTTTCATATGTGGTTACAGCGCTAGGAGTTCGATAAGTACTGTAATTCGCTATCGCCTCTGAACCCACGTGACCGCTCATTCTCGGACACCGTCTTCAGTGAGCCAAATGTCTGGACATAGCTCCTCATTGTTCAACACACGTTATCGATGTTTGAAGCTCGTCATGAACAGACGCTGATTTCCTTACGTATGAGGGCATCGTCAATCGCAAACACTTCCGGCTGAAGTCACTGACTGAAGATCAGTCCAAAGCCCTCATCCTCATCTGTAGTCTCCAATCAAAAACGTTCACTGACATTAGAACACGGTTACCGCGCCGATTGGACCAAGATCCCAAACTCACCCTTTCGGATATTGCAAATGAATATCAACATTAAGTTAATCTGCAACGCGACATTACAATGGTCCAGTGTGGTGGTTCCGATCTTTCCGAAGTTCACATAGTCCAACAACTATTCAACACAAACAAATGTACCTGACAGACATTGCGTATTTTCCGAATAACTTATAAAATTACATTTTACATAAATCATACTTTAACGTTTAAAAGATTTCTGAAACGAAATAAATCTTTAGTAATTAGATTCTCCATGTTCAATTCTGTTGACTATCAATCTATAATCGGCTAGTTCATAATTCCTTCAGATAACAACTTCTTTCCAGATTGTTCAATAATTTAGATGATGACTTGTAGTAACAGTTTTTGTAATGTAAAACGTTTTACACATTTCTGTTATTTTTATATAGTAACAATAAATAATACAGTTGGGCTTGCTTTTAAATTATTTTTATTTCAAGGTTAAAGAATATATTCATCCAGATAAATTTGATTATTGGGCGAAAATTGGCAAAGATTTGGGTTTTTTATATACAGCTAGTGGACCATTAGTTCGATCATCATATCGAGCAGGTGAATATTATATAAAACACATTATAGATCAACGTAAACAAAAAAACGTATGATACGAGATTGAACAACTGAGCACACAAATACAGTTATTATTAAAAGAGGATGTATAGAAGTGTATATTAGTGAATCAGGCTGACTTTTTAATCAAATTACTTTTTTCAAACGTTCATTTTACAAGACCCCTTTAGTAATTTTATGAATGATAATTATATATATATATATATATATATATATATATATATATATAACTGAATATTCAGTTGAAGTAATTACAATAGATTTCCTTACGAAACAAGAAATTTTGTTCTCTAACTTTGAATGGTAAGAATACTTTTCACCCTCCATTATTGAGTGTATTACAGTGTAAATTTGTTTAACTTTGACAAAAATAGCAATATTTTGTCATTTCTATAATAGTGTGAAATTAATGCTAGAATTCAACATTAATAGATAAAGATGGAACATAAATCTATGCATCGGCAACAATAATCAGTTCACACTAGATAAAAGAGAAAAACATAATGATAACGCGTAAACTAAGCCTATTGTTATAAATTTCGGGACTTCACACACTTGATATGTCACATGAATTCCAATTAGCACAAAAAATTAGCGATCACAAGATGTCAATGACTCATGTGATTCAACCAAGTCATAATCTACCACTCTCAATGCATACACATTAAAAATGTTCTTGATACAAAACTGACTAATGCGTTTCTAGTTAATTTTTGTACGATGGAGTACTTACTTACTTAATTACGCCTGTTACTCCTCGTGAAGGAGCATAGGCCGCTCACCAGCGTTCTCCATCCAACCCTGTCCTGGGCAATCCTTTCTAGCTCCGTCCAGTTGTAATTCATCGTTTTCATATCTGCTTCTATTATCCGACGCAATGTGTTCTTTGGCCTTCCTCTTTTTCGCTTCCCTTCAGGATGCAGTTTGACGATTTGCGTAATGTATGTCCTATCCATTTCCATCGTCTTTTCCTAATTTCTTCTTCAGCTGGAAGTTGGTTTGTTCTCTCCCACAGAAGGCTGTTGCTGATGGTATCCGGCCAATGGATGTTGAGTATCTTGCGAAGACAGCTATTTATAAATACTTGTACTTTCTTGATTGTGGTTGTTGTAGTTCTCCAAGTTTCAGCTCCATACAGTAGAACTGCCTTGACATTCGTATTGAAGATTCTCACTTTGATATTGGTTGAAAGTTGTTTTGAGTCCCATATGTTCTTCAGTTGTAGGAATGCGACCCTTGCTTTGCCGATCCTCGCCTTTACGTCTGCATCTGAGCCTCCTTGTTCATCGATGATGCTTCCCAGATATGTGAAGGATTCTACATCTTCCAGAGTTTCGCCATCAAGAGTGATTGGATTGCTGTTCTCCGCTTTGAATTTGAGGACCTTACTTTTCCCTTTGTGTATGCTGAGGCCTACTGTTGCAGAGACTGCTGCTACACTGGCTATCTTCATCTGCATCTATTCGTGTGTACGTGATAGGAGGGCTAGGTCATCTGCGAAGTCCAAATCGCCTAATTGATTCTGATCTGTCCATTGTATTCCGTGTTTTCCTCTAGATGTTGAGGTCTTCATAATCCAGTCGACCACCAGGAGAAAAAGGAAGGGAGAGAGTAAACAGCCTTGTCTGACTCCGGTCCTTACTTGGAATGCATCTGTCAGCTGTCCTCCATGCACTACTTTGCACTGTAGTCCGTCGTATGAGTTCCGGATTATATTGACAATCTTCTCAGGAATTCCGTAGTGTCGAAGAAGTTTCCATAACGTCCTCCTGTCTACACTGTCGAATGCCTTTTCATAATCAATGAAGTTGATGTATAGTGATGAGTTCCACTCAACTGATTGTTCAACGATGATCCGTAGTGTTGCAATTTGGTTTGTGCACGACCGATCCTTACGGAATCCAGCTTGTTGATCTCGAAGTTGGGCGTCTACTCCATCCTTCATCCGGTTCAGCAACAATCTGTTGAAGAATTTCCCTGGTATTGACAGTAGTGTTATGCCTCTGTAGTTTTCACATTTGCTCAGATCTCCTTTCTTTGGAATCTTGATGAGGTGTCCTTCTTTCCAGTCCATCGGCACTTGTTCCTCCTCCCAAATCTTTTTGAATAGAAGATAAAGCATGCTTGTGGTTGCTTCGATGTCTGATTTCAGTGCTTCAGCTGGTATGTTGTCGGGTCCTGCTGCTTTCCCGTTCTTCATTTGTCTGACGGCCATTCTAATTTCTTCCGTCGTTGGTGGGTTGACATCTATAGGAAGATCTATGTGTGCTGCTTCGATGTCCGGTGGATTCATTGGAGCCGGCCTATTCAGGAGTTCCTCGAAGTGTTCTACCCATCTGTTACGCTGTTGTTGAATTTCGGTGATTGGCTTGCCTTCCTCGTCTTTGACCGGCCTCTCTGGTTTACTGTATTTTCCTGATAGTTTCTTCGTTGTATCGTAAAGCTGTTTCATATTTCCTTCTCTAGCAGCTTTTTCTGCCGTCGTTGCTAGTTCTTCCACGTATTTCTTCTTGTCTGCTATAATGCTCCTCTTCACTTGTTTGTTTGCTTCTATGTATTCAGCTTGTGCTTGGACTTTCTCTGCTCGTGTTCGGCTGCTGTTAACTGCGGCCTTCTTGTTCTTCCTTTCTTTGATCTTGTCCAGTGTTTCTGTAGAGATCCATTCCTTATGATGATATTTCTTTAGACCGAGAACCTCTTGACACGTTGAAGTTAATGCTTCCTTGATGCCTTTCCAGTTGTCCTCCATAGTAGTTTCTTCCTCTTTCAGTAGATCCTGTAAGGCTTGGAACCTGTTGTTGAGAGCCATCTTGAGTTCATTGAGTTTGTCAGTATCTCGAAGGAAGGCTGTATTGAACTTTTGTATTGCTGTTTGTCCACTTGTCCAGTTCCTTTTTAGCTTCAGTTTTAAATTGGCTACAACTAAGTGGTGATCTGAAGCTACGTCAGCACCTCTCCTGGTTCTCACATCTTCCATTGTCCTTCGGAATTTTTTATTGATGCAAATATGATCTATCTGGTTCTCTGTAGTGTGGTCCGGTGAGATCCATGTAGCTTTGTGTATACGTTTGTGTCCAAATGTCGTGCCTCCTATGACCAATTTGTTGAATGCACATAGATTTGCAAATCTTTCTCCATTTTCGTTTCTTTCTCCCAGTCCATGTCGTCCCATAATATCTTCATATCCAGTGTTGTCTATTCCGACTTTGGCATTTAGATCTCCCATTAGAATGGTGAGGTCCTTTCTTGGGCATTTCTCTATCACTGACTGCAGCCGCTCGTAGAATTGATCTTTAATGTCGTCGTTGCTATCATTGCTGGGTGCATAACATTGAATAATATTCATTGTGATCCCCTCCTTCTTTGTTTTGAATGATGCTTTGATGATTCTGGATCCGTGGGATTCCCATCCTACAAGTGCATTTCGTGCTACTTTGGACAGCATAAGAGCGACTCCCTGAGTGTGTGGAGCATTGTCCTCTTCGTGACCGGAGTATAGCACCATCTCTCCCGTAGCTAGCCTTTTTTGTCCAGCCTGGGTCCAGTGGGTTTCGCCGATTCCCAGTACTGCTAAGTTGTATCTCCTCATTTCCATGGCTATTTGACTGGTCTTCCCGGTTTCCCACATTGTTCGAACGTTCCATGTACCTATAAAAATTTTTGCTCTGGTTGTTAGAAGGGGCATCGGCCTCGTGGCTTCCGAAGGAACTCGGCTTTCACCATGAAGCGTCATAATTCTTCTAAATGAAGACCTTCTAACTCCCAGGGCAGAGTTAAAATGGTTTGGATTATTTTTTCTGGTAAGCGTTTTTTAGCGAGTTAGTTTTCTACGGGATGGGGACGCTAACCCCATGCCCAACCCTCCTCCTTTACCCGGGCTTGGGACCGGCAGCAACCCTATAAGAGCTACAGGCGGAGTTACGATGGAGTACATATATAAAAAACTTATGAGTCGTAAAAGTTTGCAATCAAAACCACATAGACGTCGGATACAATCTCATTACAAAAGAAAACAAAATAAATAACGCATACTTCCTCATTTTTTCCTTATATGCGTGGACAATAATAAGGTATGCAGATGAAGTTATAAAAACCATGTGGACTCAATGGGTAAAAGGTAATCCTGATTAACTGTCCTATGAGAATTCAAAGGTGTATATTTTGTGACTAACTCACGGAAAATTAATTATGCCTTTCTTCAGCACACATCAGGTTAAAAAACATTCAACACAAATAGGTGGGCTTGCATCTAAGGGCACTAATTCACTTTGAACACATATTTTACAGAACAATTTAGAAAAAAGCTGGAAAAAAACACTTGTTAAATTTCTCACCGAGGTAGTTGTAAATTAATAAAAATGGAAAAAGTGACCTAAAAGAGCAGTTTGTTCTAATTTGGTTAGGTTCTAGAATGAAACCAGTTTGGTTACGAAAAAGTCAGGTTTATCAAATGCGACAGAAGTCGAAAAGCTTGTTTTTAAAACATCTGGCATCAGATCTACTTTATAAATGTGTGGTGTTACGTATTTTGAACAGTTTCCACTCATATATCAGCACCTAACCCTTGTAAGGAAAATCGAATCTGAACTCATTTGTTGGTAAAATTAGGAATGCGACTGTTCGTTTTAAGCGGATTAATTTAAATAGTCCAGTTTTTTGCATACTCTAGCTTAATACTACACATCTTTAGGGTGCCACTTGAGTCTCGTAGAATGCAATTCTAAAAGAGTAAGCTACGAATATCAATTGTTATCTGTGTTGTGTTGAAATTTATCACGTCAATCTTTTTAAAGACATCCCCAAATATTAGATTGGTCACACTTTCGAAGTATGTCTGAATCTAAAATTTTATTGATTGAAACAATACTAAAGGTGAAGTAATTCACCAGTTTCCAGCAAAGTTAGGTTGCTAACACTGAATATAATGAACACTAACAACTCTCAACCAGAAATGGCCATACAAGTGAATATTTCTTGAAATTAAGTAAAAACCAAGGGAATTTTCACGAATCAATTGTCACCACATCTACCAGCTTTAATTAGTATAGCGGTGTTTAATAAGTCCTTTTCTGCATCTTCAATCATTCAGACAGTGTTGATAATAGATTAAGTTTCGCAGAAATTGATATGAATGGCTTGAGCGTTTGAACATATTAACATTGAAAGCCACCAGCAATCCTTCCATTAGACCTTGATTTCTTCAATACACGAACATTGAGAAAAGAATCCCAAGTAGGAAGAAGAATGTTTATTCAGTGAGGTGTTTCCCTCGGACAACCAGCATCTACAGCGATGCTGCCTTCTCACAAGGAAGGACGGGGTTAGAAAAGGTGGATCCTCAAAATGTCCCACCTCACCTCATCTCACGGATTTCCGTCTCTGGAGGTAAGGCCCTTTGAAGAACGGAGCTAACACGTCAAAAACCTCCCACAAAAAGGCCGTGCGCGACTGGCCCCAAGCAGTTGTCCCTTAGGCTTTGTGGTCACGCTCCCAGGTCGTTAACGCCGACATTAATCCGAATTCCTTTTCAGGTTCCTCAAGAAATACCCTCCCACGATGTGGGCAGCTGGAAAGTGGTATCAGCCCTCATACCCGTAACAACACACGAGACCAAGTCGGTCACATTCAAATCCTTCCTACACCTCCTAATGATAGTCAAGCTAAGAGGAACAACTAGGAAAACAGTTAGGCGGCCATATAGGTGATGCCCACCCCGAGGCAGCATGGAATGATATCTGAAAAGCTGTGGAAACAGCAGTGATATCTGCTAGTACAGTAAACCATAAGGTGAGGGAGCGACACTGTATCTCAGCAGCATCTACCGCACTGGTAGATGCTCGACAACTCAGTCCATCTGGATCTGAATATAACGAAGAGCGGAGTCAGCTTAAGCGCAAGTTGACAAGATTGGGTTGCATCGACACCCAAACTAATGATAGGAAGTGAAGTAGTTGAGCGTGTCGACCGTTTCACTTATCTTGGAAGTCTGATCAGCCCTTGTGGTTTGGTGTGTGACGAAGTCTCAGCACGGATACAAAAGGCTCGACTAGCTTTTGCCAACTTGCGTCATTTATGGCATAGGCGAGACATCCGTCTATCAACCAAAGGACGTGTTTACTGTGCAGCAGTTCGTTCCGTCCTACTTTATGGCAGTGAAACATGGCCGGTAAGAGTAGAGGATATTCGTAGGTTACTAGTATTCGATCATAGGTGTCTTCGGAACATTGCTCGTATATCATGGGACCATCGAGTAAGTAACACAGTTGTTAGAAAACGGGTACTAGGTAAGGATGGCAAATCCATTGATGAAGTAGTGAAACTTCATCAGTTGAGATGGCTGGGACACGTGTTACGTATGCCCAACCACCGAGTGTCTCGACGATGTTCAGTGGTATAGGAGTAAGTTGGAAGAAAGCTAGGGGCGGCCAGACCAAAACATGGCACAAGTCCATGAAGTCACTGACAAGTGGACTGAGTCATGTTGGTAGGTATAGACTACCTGGTTGGGGATCGCGAGATGATAGCAACTGATGGTTAGAGACCCTGAATGACATGGCTCAAAATCGTTTGCATACTCTCTTTGTGTTCTCCCAAATTCTAATCTCCTGATTCCTCATTATCTCTTTTTTTCTCTCCCCAAATTTATTTCACTGTATTATACTCTTTAAATAACATCTCCAAACCCTAATCTTCTCGATTACTGCTTATACTCTTACTACCTCTACCACTACTGGATTTGAATCGACCACTACATCTCTGTGCTAATGTGGTGTGGCAACTCGAACTGATGTACGTACGTACGAAGTTCTACGTTGTTACTGAATGACTGTTTGATCATCACTAAAAAAGAGGATAAAAGTTTAATTTTTAACAGCACTGGATGTATTAGGTCTTCTGCGATGTCCAATGAAATAATAGGAGAGCTGACTAGCGAATATCGACTATAATTGTTAGATAATAAACTTAGATATCGTCCTCAAATATAGAAATAAAAGGAATCATAGGATAGAAACGTATATTCAGTTTACCATTAAATTTTTTATAAAGTGAAAAATCAACCTCAAAACTATCACGCTTATATATTTGTTCTGTACAATTAATACATATATATAATGATTCTAATATCACTGTGAAATCTCAATATTAATTATTCATCATAATCTTTTACTTGTCGATAGCATATACGGATATATTGCAACTCTTGATAATATATGGTCAGTAGCCCTTTCACTCCAAGATACGTCAAACCACCCTAGTAAAGAAAATTAAAGAAATAAATCAATTAAATTGATTAATCGAATCTGCATGATGAACCAATGAGTTTCTGAATGATAACTGAGACAGTTAGAATAGCTTATAAATTACTACTGATATAGGATACAATTAACCATCTAGAATTAATATTGCATTGTTTCATTGACACAACAATCAAGATGCACAAACTTATTATTTCAAACGAGTGGCATCTGAATCTAAGTGAAAGTACAAACTTGTACTACGTTCAGAAACGTGCTATACAATACGATGCTGAAAAGTACAGCAGTTGATCAAATGAATTTCGAATAGCCTGTTTTCCACTCCATAGCAGAATAATGACTTTATTATAATTTGACTTGGAAATCTCTTCTTTTAAATAACAGAACACAAACTGTCTGGATCCTTTTAATCACATCGCAGTTTAAAAAATCGCTACAATCGTCACTATATATATATATATATATATATATCAACCAATCTAATAAAACACGTGGAGAGAAATTATCTTACCAGGAGAACTCTGTGTGTAGCAGACTGCACTCGTTTAAATAATAAGTGTCCCAGAACGGTAGATATTGTTGGAAGAGCTAATGCACTACAAAATAAACGAGGTATATCAGAGAGTTCTGGGCGTAGTTCTATATCAACATCATTAACAGGCCAGGTTGGAAGATCTTTGCAGTAAAAGAGAAAATAACACAGTATACTAACCGAGATTCAACATAAAAACACTTTCTAAACAATTTATTACACTTCACTAGACTATACTAAGACGACAGGAATGTTAAAGCTAAAAGTTTCATCCTGTATCATATACCTTCACCACATTTTAGTGATACTTATTTATAAGACTTTTCTGTACAGATACATCCAGCTGACAAGTCCCAAATGGGACGGAACACGCGTCCTGGATTTCACTGCTAGCCACTATCCATCTTTGCTTTAAAATATTCGGTTTGTTGACGCATTTTTCCTATCCTCTAGTTACTGTACAGTATGTTATTTGTCTTTTCCCTATTTAACACACTGTATTTATTGTTTATTTTGTATACTGTTAATTTGCGTTTTAGAAGCAGATACAGTTTATCAAGCCAAATAACTTAATTGTTCTGACTTTATCTGAGCTAAGACTGTGCATTCAACAGTCTAGAGAATAGTTTAAAATTGAATCTGTAAGAAACTACTTCCTACAGGAGCGAACTCCGGTCTAGTTGCGTTAGACTGAACACGCAGATGGTAGGAACGACCGTCAAACAAGTGAAGTTCAAAACATTATTGTATATTTGAACGTAAATACTCGACTGCTATGTGCAGGACTACTATAAATAGGCTCAACTGATGTCATCACTTATTTACTTTCTGTCCCCATCACCACCAAAATGGTCTGATTTGTTAAGTTTAAAGGATTTTCGTTAGTTAGTGAAAATTACATCCATGTAATTTAGCCTAATCACAAGCACTGCTCTAACAGTTTCGTTAATAAACATGTTAAATAAATCTTTATTTAGTTTAGTCCAGTAATGAATTTCGTTAGTCTACTGAATGTAACGACTGTAGCGATTGGTTTGAAATTATCAGTTAAGACCTGGAATTAGAGATTGCTATTTTTTCTAGATTACTTCCTAAGATGTAGAAACAAACGAAGAACCTTGTGTCAAAGGTAGAGATCAACTAGTGAAATAACACAGTAGGAAATTCGATAACCAACGTTTTTCGCTGTTGGACTCGTTTACACTATTCCGAAGGGAAATGAATTACGGCAAACCGTTGAAGGCGTCCGATGTCAAGCTGTGGTAAAATACTGCAATAGAAGAATATTTATCAAGCTAAATAAAACCGATTTCACATTAGTACAATGCTTCTGTCTTAAGGTTAAACTACAATATATGTCTGAAAAATGTCCTACAAATCCAAACATTAAAATAAGACATGGTACGTCTGTCAGCGATACTGATATAACGGACGGTTTACATTATTTTACTCCGGTACACGTATATTACGATAATATGTTAATAAGGCTAATCACGTTATATCAGAACCATGACTCACGGCCCAAAATAGAGAACGAGATTAACACTAGAGAATACTTTACAAAAATATAATTACAAGCAGTCACAACACAGTGAATCCAGAGTAGAAATCAACGGTCACATATTTAATATTCCGTAGGCTGTGGTTGTTTGTCCAAGCTTAACGACCACTCATACTTTTCTTTCATTACCACACATTAGATACTATATGAAAGCCACTGTAATCCAAATACAAAGTTGTTCACCATTTTGAATATATAAATTCCGAAAATGTATACGCTGATAAGCTACTTAGAATTAATTTTTTGTATTGATTAAAAACAGGTGTATACTGAACTAAGTTTCTAAAAATTGTAATGAGGTATAAATTATTCAGATAATACCTACCTTTGCGTCTGAACAGCTGAATAAAGGGTAAACGACTTATATGGTTCCTCCATAACATAAGCAGTCTACTTTCCCATTGAACTGCTTTCGCCAAAACAAGACACAAAGGAATAGTCGGGAGACCTAGCAGTAGAAGAGGAGGATCTGTGAGCCGCATAGCTTGTAAACCTTGACGATGTCCATAAACTTGCATTACTGTTACAGCTCCGTACGTTACAGCAGACCAGTAAAATGAGCCGAAAATAATTCCACCAGTAAGAACAAATGATAGAGAGCGAGTAATTTGGTCAACAGACTGAAGAAAATCATAGAAAAATCCTAAAACATAAGAATTTAGTGAAGGAATTTAGTTGTTCAGAAGTATTTTATTCGATAACAGACACAAAATGTAGAAGCTACAACTACATCTACATTGTAAATTTGAACATATTTCAAAGTGATTACCAAGTAAACTGACCATCAGGGAATGAGCCCGTTTTCTTCAATGAAATTTTCTCCATGAAGTGCTTGTATCATATTTGGTGGAAGATGCAGTTCGCCAGTGGAAAACTTACTACCGACTAGAATACAAACACTTATTTATGCTTGTTACTCCTCATGGACGAGTATAGGCCATCCACATTCCCCAACCAACTCTGTCCTGATCTCTTCTTTCTGGCTGCTATTCATCCTTTTTATATCTGCTTCCGATTCTCGACGCAGTGTGTTCTTCGGCCTAGTAGTAGTACTCGTAGCAGGTGAGTTCAATGTCCAGGTAGGTAGATTAAACCAAAAAGAAAGACATCTAGGTGGGTATTTTCGTATTACGGACAGTAGTGACCGTCTCATGTAACTGCGCTCAGACAATCGTTTGTTGCTAAAAAGCACTAATTCTAAGCATAAGAATAGACATCGTCTGACATGGCGACCCTCTGCGTTAAACCAGTGGTAGACTCAAATAGACCATATAGCCATCGGTCTTCGTTGGAGAGGCTCGACAGAAGAGCGCCGTTCGCTCTGGAGTACATGTTTAGACTCTGATCATGCTCTAATACGAGCATATGCTTGCGCCTAACTGAACACAAAGGCCACATTAAGAAGACCCACTATTATTGATTTCAGCGATGAGAAGGGCAAAAGTTAATTGTAGGAACAGACGAAAGTCACACATTGGCATTTTCGAAAACAAGGCTGACCCAGATGTTGCTTTGAAAGATATACAAGCAGCTGTGCAAACAACAGCGCAATTTATGAGTGATCTGAATCGATGAGTTACGAAAAACCAGTGGGTTTCTACTTAGTCCATTCCACTGAGAGATTTGTGTAAACTTAACCCATCAGGCATTGAACACGATGAAGAGCGAAAACAAGTTAGATATAGGTTAACCAAAAGTCTAAGGAACGACCGTGAGTAGTGGTTGGCAACGGAAGGAAAAGAAATGGAAAGGGTAGCGGCTGTAGGTAACACAAGACAGCTTTTCAGACTGATAAAAGAAACTGGAATTAATAATTCAGGTGTGAGACAGTTTCGGAAAATGACAACAGTCTTACCTGTTTATAGCAAATTGTAATCCTATTTTGCACACACAAGTGATGTCCAGCAAGGTTGTTCACTATCTTCATTTCTGTTTAATTTTATCATAAACCTACCGCTGGAAATAACATTCCCGTCGATTGAATTTTCAGCAACTGAGGTCTACTTGTCAACTTAGAATTTCTGTAGCAGTGTCTGTCATTGAAAGGTGTACCTCAGAAGTATATAAACCTTTTCAAGGCTCTTTACTCGAACACTTTTGGCTTTTGACAACTTATAGCGAAAGCGAGATAATCGTCCATCAATTAAGGGACGAGTATATTGTGCGGCAGTTCGTTCTATGCTACTTTACGGCTGTGAAACGTGATAATTAAGGGTAGAGGATAGTTGTAAGTTGCTAGTATTTTGTCTTAGAAACGTTGCTCTCATCAGCTGGAATCACAGGCTAAAATTAATAGTGAGGTTGGAGGTAGTGTATTAGGGAATGATGGTAAATCAGTTGATGAGGTTGTGAATCTTCAACGACTGGGGTAGTCGATCCACGTATTAGTCATACCGAACTACCAAACACCACGACATGCAATGATGGAGACGGCTGGGAGAAAGTTAGGAGCCGCCAAACCGAAACGTGTCACTAGTCCTTGAAGTCACTAACTTCTGGTCTGAGCCACGTTGATAGATTCAGACTACTTGGTTGGAGTGCGCGTGACTAACATAACCAATGGTTGCAGACTCTGGGTGACATGGCTCAGAATCGATCAAAATGGCGTCGGTGTATACAGTCTTTGTGCTGCAATAAACCGTGAGATTCTTACTATGGACATAATTGTCTTCATATACAAATATATTGTCTGTTACTGATCTTAAAATGATCTACTATACAACAATCTATTAATGGTTGAATAGAAATAAGCAGAAGTTTAAATCAATTTTACGGTTCTTACAGTCGCTACATCATAGTAAAGTGAAATGAGTATTTATTTATTTGAACACATAAATATTGGTACGAGGGGCACCAGATATATATGCTGCAAAGAATTTGCAAGCTCATTTGATACGCATTTTCATAAAGACTGATAAAAGTATTTGATTTCCACTTACATTGATTAACAACAATTATTGGCTCGCATGTAGTTTCGAGCGTAAATCCTTTCAAATATGAACGACAAACTTCCATAATATTAGGTATATAGATACGCATTTAAGCGCCAAATCCATTATGTACCTGTAATAAGTGATCTCTCAAATGTACATACTTCGTTCAATTCGAATATCCTTTGTAAGTGAAGTGGTGGTTATACGATATAAAAACAACTTCCAATTGATAGTTCACAACCCACTTCACCCTGAGCCATGTTGGTAGATGCAGACTATTTGCTTGAGGTCCAAGTGACCATCGCAACCAATGGTTGGAGACTATGGGTAACATGGCTTAGAATCGATCACAGTGGCGTCGGCGTATACATGCTTTGCTTTATACCTTTCTTTCTGTGAACTAATTCTTCCAATTTTATATTCTTATACACAATCTTTCTTTTATATATTACTACCACTGAAGTGAATATTCCTATGAACTTGGTGTTCATTTTGTGCTAATGAGGTGTGGCGAGTTGGACCGATGCATATATGTGCCTGGTCCTACGTTGTGACTGACTGACCGGAAAATGCTGATGAGGGATGTGAAAGTTTCCACATCTTCCAGATCTTATCCGTCAAGAATACAAACAGGTGCCGATAGAAATATAGGAACTAGTAAACTAGTGCTTTAAAATCTTTGTTCAAAATATCTAGAGTAGACTGTAGATATACAACCACCTTCCCCTATTGTTCCAATATGATATTATGGTTCGGCAAGGATGCTCAACTTTACTGTTCTTTTCCAGTCCTGCTGTAAATGACATTCTGGTAGCATTCATTAATGGGGAGGATATAGATCTGTCATATTGAGAAATACACTGTGACCATGAGTGTTCAGATCTTACTGCGACATGTTATGCTTTGACTTCTTATTGTTGGACTTATACTGAGGTACACCTGTTGTATTTTAAAAGCTCTATCTTTTATTACATGATCATCACCTTTTTCTCACTTATAACTGATATCCCCTTCTTTCTTCATGAGTTAGTAATATTATTCTAAGTCTCTACTTTCTATTGTATTTAATCTGTATTGAGTGGTTACTTCCTTCCTAAAAATGACCTAGACAGCCATGATTACTTAGTTCCCTACATCCTAACTGCACAGAGCTTCCAAATGTTTCGAAAATTTTCTAACAGGAAGTACTATAATTGAAATGCACTTTATAACCTATCGAAAATTTGTAGCATACGGAATGCCCTTGTTTTAAGTTTATATTGAATAAATATCGGCAAGTTACATAAGCGTTATAAACATCAACACGTTAATAGTATTTCCAGAATATTGCAGAACGTATTTAATAATTAATCAGTAATTAATGCATGTCAATACGTAGTGTACTTTCTACGTTCCAAATGCAAAAGACGTATACCTGCATTTACTATTGCGAAAAAATCGAGTAACTCGTGTATTTATATCAAAGAAGTCAGTCAGTCAGTAACAACGTAGAACTTCGTACGTACGTACATCAGTTCGAGTTGCCACACCACATTAGCACAGAGATGTAGTGGTCGATTCAAATCCAGTAGTGGTAGAGGTAGTAAGAGTATAAGCAGTAATCGAGAAGATTAGGGTTTGGAGATGTTATTTAAAGAGTATAATACAGTGAAATAAATTTGGGGAGAGAAAAAAAGAGACAATGAGGAATCAGGAGATTAGAATTTGGGAGAACACAAAGAGAGTATGCAAACGATTTTGAGCCATGTCATTCAGGGTCTCTAACCATCAGTTGCTATCATCTCGCGATCCCCAACCAGGTAGTCTATACCTACCAACATGACTCAGTCCACTTGTCAGTGACTTCATGGACTTGTGCCATGTTTTGGTCTGGCCGCCCCTAGCTTTCTTCCAACTTACTCCTATACCACTGAACATCGCACGTCGAAGCAGTCGGTCTTTGGGCATACGTAACACGTGTCCCAGCCATCTCAACTGATGAAGTTTCACTACTTCATCAATGGATTTGCCATCCTTACCTAGTACCCGTTTTCTAACAACTGTGTTACTTACTCGATGGTCCCATGATATACGAGCAATGTTCCGAAGACACCTATGATCGAATACTAGTAACCTACGAATATCCTCTACTCTTACCGGCCATGTTTCACTGCCATAAAGTAGGACGGAACGAACTGCTGCACAGTAAACACGTCCTTTGGTTGATAGACGGATGTCTCGCCTATGCCATAAATGACGCAAGTTGGCAAAAGCTAGTCGAGCCTTTTGTATCCGTGCTGAGACTTCGTCACACACCAAACCACAAGGGCTGATCAGACTTCCAAGATAAGTGAAACGGTCGACACGCTCAACTACTTCACTTCCTATCATTAGTTTGGGTGTCGATGCAACCCAATCTTGTCAACTTGCGCTTAAGCTGACTCCGCTCTTCGTTATATTCAGATCCAGATGGACTGAGTTGTCGAGCATCTACCAGTGCGGTAGATGCTGCTGAGATACAGTGTCGCTCCCTCACCTTATGGTTTACTGTACTAGCAGATATCACTGCTGTTTCCACAGCTTTTCAGATATCATTCCATGCTGCCTCGGGGTGGGCATCACCTATATGGCCGCCTAACTGTTTTCCTAGTTGTTCCTCTTAGCTTGACTATCATTAGGAGGTGTAGGAAGGATTTGAATGTGACCGACTTGGTCTCGTGTGTTGTTACGGGTATGAGGGCTGATACCACTTTCCAGCTGCCCACATCGTGGGAGGGTATTTCTTGAGGAACCTGAAAAGGAATTCGGATTAATGTCGGCGTTAACGACCTGGGAGCGTGACCACAAAGCCTAAGGGACAACTGCTTGGGGCCAGTCGCGCACGGCCTTTTTGTGAAGGGTTTTTGACGTGTTAGCTCCGTTCTTCAAAGGGCCTTACCTCCGGAGACGGAAATCCGTGAGATGAGGTGAGGTGGGACATTTTGGGGATCCACCTTTTCTAACCCCGTCCTTCCTTGTGAGAAGGCAGCATCGCTGTAGATGCTGGTTGTCCGAGGGAAACACCGTACTGCTGTCACACCCCTCTACAGTCAGCAGTAGGACTTCGACCTCAGACCTTGAGTTGCTGCTTTTAGTCTTACCGTTCTCCAACCGACCTGCCTGGCATGGTAGAACCTACAGGATCATATGTTCCAGCCAATATAGCTCGGTTGGGTCATTACGATAGGCAAGCCCGACCACCGCGTCAAAGTAGCAGGTACGGTTGGGACTAAGTTGTACTGGAGGATTCATTACCGCATATTATTTTCGGACGCTAGAACTGAATGGGAAAAGTGGTTAGTACACGCCATAATTTCGTAGTACGAAAGATGGCTGCTTAGGCATGGTGCATGTAAGTTTATAACTACGTACTAGTTGAGATACTTAAGATAAAGCAACACATTTGATAGGGATGTTGTGCTACAGGGGTCATAAGTCAATAAAGATTCTGTTGTAGTTTTTTTCAGTATATCTCTCATAAAAGTAGGGTGGACACTCCTAACCTAAAATCATTTTCACCATTTTATTTTTAAAAATGAACTGCATCTTTAACTAAATATTTCTTCTATTCATTTGTTCATCGATCATATGATCCTCCTACTTTATATTTCATCACAATATAATCGTTATTCTTTGTGTAATGTGTTCTATTTGGTGTCCTATTGCGCCGACTTTTGCATATTCTAAATAAAGAATCGTACATTATTTTTACTTGTCATTAAGCTGAAATAAGTGGAATTCTTTAATAAATATTGGTACAAGGGGATATCAAATACATATGCGTCCAAATGCCCTGCTACGGCCGAAGATCGAGAGTCCACTGCCTTGCAGATCAGACTTTTAGGTCGAAGTCTCTGGGTGTGCCCCCCAAAGAAAACCACCTGCTTAGGTCTGGGAACCTGGATAGTATCATAGCCCACATACAAATCAAATCAAATGATAATTACTACTAGAGGACAGAATACAGTCACATTCCATATTATTTGAAAACATATTACCTAAAAATAAATCTACGTAAGAAATGGTGCCTCTCTTTGATAAACGATTGAAAGTGACCAAAAATATGAGTTAAAATTCGAATTTATTTATAAGGTTTTCTGAAACTGAGATGAATGTAACACAATGTATAATAAAAATTATTAGGGATACTTTCAGTTGTAAGTAGAGTGATAATATAAAACGAGAGAACAGTCGCAATTTTGGGTCAGAGAGGTTTTGCTTATTAGTGGTTGTTAAACCATAAACATTTTGACGTACAGTTTAGATCGGTTGGGATTAGTGTTTAACATCTAGTACCTCGTTAGTTTCCATTGATAAAACTAGATTACGAAACACAGTCCAGGACTCATGGCATTTTGAATCTGGTCGTGCATGTTATGCTGCTTATTATTATCTACTAAACAAGCTTGATCTAACAAACTGGTACTTCAACTATATCATACATAAGTGCCCGAACTATGAGTAGCGTAATATCCATTTAGCTAGAATTCGTCAAAGGCAACCTACTAAAGATTCTTCGAAACGTCAGAGTGGAATATATTGGTAACTATACACTATTATTTGAGCTGTTGATACTTACAATTTACATTTTAGTATGTCTTCTGTTAGACAAATAAACCACTCTGGAATAATAATAATAATATTCAAAGTTTTGATATTACATATGCTGAAGACTTTGCTGGTACGAACAGTGACACAAAAAGTGCAATAATTTGACCAAATAATTTACATTAATACAAAAATTAAAATATATTGCTTTTTTACAATGCTTAAGCCAGAAAATACTAGGAACCTTTGTTATGAATTCCGAACAATCCAAGTTTAAAAATGACAAGAAAGAAGTCAACCACATGTCTAACTGTAAACTATTCGTTAAAGATCAAATATCAGACATTAAGTCGCAAGTGAACTAAGAACGTTGGTTAAGATATTTAGGATATTGATGGGTGTATCTACACGATGTTTCGCCATGTCTAAAGAAGACTGAAACAATCTTCAACGCGATCAAACACTATACATATTTCAGCTGAGTCAGATCATCTAGGTTGGATGGGATTTCCAAGTTATGAAAGGTATGACATATTAGATTATATGGCTTGGGTCAAATCTTGATCGTAATGTTAAACTTACTTTTTATACCCTACAAAGGGAAGAATGACTGGGAAATCTAGACTTCATTTTAATCGTGAAACACATAAGATTAATTAAATAATGAGTATGTTATTACAAAATAATCAACAAACTACTTAAAAAAAGGTTAGTTGCAGTTTAGCTTAGATAAAAGAATTTCAGTACTATTTGATTCGCCAAGATCATTAAACAGAACTTACCGCAATCAGGATAAACTATTATATATGGTGTATTACATATCTGACATGAAATAGAATTCGATTCTCCTCTGCTGTGTTGTTGTTCACTAATCCACCTTTGAAGACACGTTTGATGAACCCATTTCAGTGCGCCACGGCAGCGACAAGGTCTGCTCCATAAGTTGGCTGAGTTACCGTCTACTTCAGAACTCAAACAAATCCAACAGGTTTTGTCTTCCCTTGGCGTAAAAGGTGAGACATTGGCACTTTGTTCCAACATAGCTTAGAGCACTTTGTTTTCCCTAGATTTGAATAGTTATGCCTGTAATATATTAACAAAGAGGAAATAGGATATAATGGAATTTACTTCCGGATTCTAAAAAAAGTAAACTATTAAGTAACCAAGTAATGAAAGATACGATGTAAACGATAACAGTTCTGACTTGCTTGTTACGCTATATACAAGCTTAAGTAAGCTAGAGATACATTAAAAACCTAGAAGTAATAGATCTTCGCATCGTCGTAAATTGGTATGTTTCACCAGCAACTATCCAAAAAAATGTACAATACTACACAGGCATCTTTTGAAACAACTTATGAACTTATTGCAGATTCATGCGCTGATTTAAACCAAACCTCAAGTATGAAACTACCTGGCTGGACAAACTGAAACAGATGGAGCAAGACTTAAATCTATGACACGATTTAAGTGGTTAATTGGTCGACTGACTAGTTCTGTCCGAATGTGTTCGAACTGCACATTGCTTAAACTTAGATATAGACTAGTCTGAGCATGTTCATCTACACCTGAAAAAGTACGATGAACATGCAGTTAGAACTTAAGTATGTGACTTGGGATTAAAATTAGACTGAAACTGATTACCCTATTGGGACAAAAGTAGCCAGCAACATAAAGTGTTTGTAGAAGTATCAAACGATGTATTGATCGATACATCATTTGACACCACCTAGTGACTGAGTCTCTTATAGGTTATGTTTTCTCAAAAGAAGTTATCACGTGCAGAGCCTTGAGGTTTCCTAGTATTAGACCTAATAACACAGTTATGGCAAATGAAGGTCCTGGCTTGGTCACGCAAACTAATGTGGGGAGAGGACAGAGATAGGTTTTGACTTATCTGATTCCTTCGCTGAGTCGTTTGTTCGCAGTAGAACAGGCATCTTAAATGTTCATTAGTTAGCCATGTATACGCGGATAACTGTGACATGTATCTTTCAAGTGTGTTTTAACTCCAACACTATTATGAGGTTATTATCCAAATCCTATATACGTTTTCTTAAATTGGGAGACATCAATTTTTCAAGGCGAGTACCATGTGATATACTTTAGTGCCTACCGTGATAACACAACCGAGCTATGCTGGCTGGAAAGCATGTTCCTTCAGGTCTTACTTGCCATGCAGGTTGGGTGGAGAGCGGTAAGACTAAAACCAGCAACATAAGGCTCAAGGGTGAAGTCATACTGTTGAGTAGTGTTTCCCTTTGACAACCAGCATCTGCACCAATGCTCGCCTCTAAGCACATGAGATTACTTCGCTGATGATCGAATCACTCCCTCACCTCTTAATAATTTTTCCTTCCCTAAGATTAACTCTTCTCATTTATCTTTATCACCACGCAGTACCAATGTTAATGATTGGAGTTAACAAAACGTTATTCATGGTCTCCTGAAACTACGTACTAAACTAAATGTTGGGGCTTTTAATGTTCGAACCTTGTGTCAGGTAGGAAAATAGGCTTTTCTAGCAAGAACTCTAGAATCTCGCGCTATCGGTGAATGCCACGTCACGCTAACGCGCACACAGGATCCAGGTACGGTCATTGATTTGACCTGACCTTGTCACTATAAAGAATCGGCACGATTTTGAAAAGTCACAGCAAAAAAACTCCGCAGAGTTCAGCTCAAAAGTGAAAAAGTCAAGAATATATTTCGAGAACAACTAGCGAAGGAACTAGCCAACCATGAGAGTGATATCCACCACGAGTTATATTGGTATAATATCCAAAAAGCTGTAGAAACAGAAGTGATAATTACTAGTAACTCAAATCAAAATGTTAGGAAAACTCAGTGCTTTTCAGTGGCGTCTACTAAATTAATAGACGATCGGAAACATATCTCATCTGGCTCCAAACACGATGAAGAGCGGAGGCAGCTTAAATATAGGCTGACAAAAAGCCCAGGCAATGATCGTGAGCAATAGTGGGTACAAAAGCAGAAGAGCTTAAATAGACAGAGGAGATAGGTAGCAGTAAACAACCTTTAAGACTCATCAAGTAAACAAGTATTAAAAATTCGGCTGTTAGTGAAACCATCTGGGAAAAAGACGGGACTATTGTCCTCTCTCAATCCGGAAGATTGGACCGATGGGCAGAGGACTTTAGGGAACAGTTCAACCGGCCTACAGCCCAAATTTAGGGACCCACTAATTACAAGCAAGCTGAATGAAAACGTAATGTAAGTTCTCCAACTTTTATTGATGTTGAGAAGGCTACAAATAATCTAAAAATAGCATCACGGCCTGATCGACTGATCCATGAGACTATTAAGGGTGGTGGTCCAGTTTGAGAAGTTAAATTAACTGGAATCTTAGCTAAAATCTGAGAATCAGATGTCATCCAATCTGACTGGTCTAGACCGCTGATCATCCCAGTTTATAAGACAAAAGTCCTCTTGTGGTAATCCCGGAAAAATCAGTTTAACTGTCTAAAATATTAGCCTCAATAACACTTCAACGTCTAATGAGGGCTCGTGAAGGGCGAAACCGATGGAACCAGGCTAGTTTCAGACCCAAACATGGATGTATACACCATATATTCACGCTTTGGAAGACTCTCGCTACCCTTAGTCGTACTAGGGCATTTACTTACTTACTTACGCCTGTTACTCCTCGTGAAGGAACATAGGCCACTCACACTAGGGCATTTGGGGGTAACATTTTAACATCAATATAAGGCTAATGTTGTCATCAACGACAAGAGGAAGTAAATAATGGTGAGCCGGTAGAGCTGGCTACTGAACAAGCAATTGTTTGTCCATAGGGAAAATGTTACATTTAAAGACATTGTGGATTGTAATAATCTGGACGATGGGTGCTTGTTGAGAACATGGACTGTACTGCATTATTGCGGTGAGTTGTGAATACATAAAATATCTTTCTTTCAGACAACTTACAGGTAACTGACGAATTAAATATGACATTTACAGAATTTTTCAGTTACAATGCCGTTTACACATGCCCAGATGACACGCTGCTATGTCAGTCTGAAATGCCTAAAAGGTAAATTGATAATCACGTGTTGTCAGAGCGGCAAAACAAAAACACAATGACTACTTATAAACCTTGGAAGGACTACAGGCTGCTAAAATAGAGGCTGGATGCATTTCCGTTGGGTTTCCAGTCGTCAGTATCTTAACTAGTAACTTCTCGCCAATAACTAATTGTATATTAAGTACATGCATACAAACCAGTCTTTGCAAAACAAAGGTGCTCACCCCATCTCTCTTATCTAAATCCCACATTGTTAACATATAAGTTTTATAATTAATTTTACGCCAATGTGTCCAGTACTTGTAATATCCAATGTTCACTGCTTGTTAAAGCAATCAGTGACCTGTCAAATCAGATCAGCAAAATAAAAACGTACATTCAATGCCTATTCACCTTTATCAAGGTCAAAAGTACTTGCAACATAGATTCTGCTAACTTGGAATATCCATTAAAAACACACAGAGAACTTAGCATTTAGGAACTGGATTGCAGGGACGAAACTCCCTGGATCAGTCTGTAAGTTGAGACAATTGTTTACAAAGATTTAGACAGTAATCGTCGTAACTCCATGAAGGTGACATTAGCTTACGTGCCGATGTGTACTTATGCCTTACTTGGGACTAAAAGCGAAATGTGCATAAGTAATTACAGACACTACAAACTAACTAGCAGTAATTCAAGAAAACTAAACACTTTTTTGCTAAATGTTTCGTACACACAGCTAAAAACTGCTATCTGTCCTGAAAAAGACAACACAAGTGGTGGGTGTTAAGAGCCAGGCTTTGTTGCACGACGCAAGAGATAAAGCACGTGTGTATGACAATCCAAAAAATGTAGTCATAATGCGATTAAAATGTACTGTTGCTTATGTGTATGTGTTCACAGGCTTATGTAGAAACTAATAATAACTGCATATTTTCATCTTTTAGATGATTTCACAATTACTCACTGACGTCACTACAAACCATTAATTCTATACACATTGTGTCACATAACTTTCTTTACGCTTCATATGTTTCTAAAGTCTTTTGCTAGTGGCATTGCGTCGAAAACGCGTAATATCCAAGTTTCGTGAATTTCATTACATCAAACGTTTCTTCGTCATGTTATTGGAGCAGTACTTATATTAATTCTGTACTGATTATGAATAACGTTTCGATATTCACAGAATACTACGGAGAAAAATCGGAATGGAACAGGAAATCTACAAATATATCCAAATGTAAACAATATGAAGAAAACATTTATCCCAGAAATTTGTATAAATTCTTATTTTAAATTAATCTGCAATAATATTTCTAACACATCAGTTATGTAACTATTGTGACGCGTAAATATAAAAGAAGATATTAGAAGTGCCGATAAGATAGGATTAGTTTGATAACGTGAACAAACTGTGACCGTGGCTTCGTATATTTTCCTACAACGATCGTTCATTTGACTGTTTATTGTAGAATAACATATTCAAGTTACATATTTCACTGGTTTTATGTATAAAGGTGAGTAGGCGAACACGTTAACGTGGTCAATAATAAGCAACTATTTTTTGAATGACGTGAAATTTATGGAACGCGATTTCAACTGTAAGAAAAAGGAAAAGACGTTCACACACAGTGGGAATTCTGGGAACTTCCCAATAAGTTCTAAAGGGTCCCCAAAACTTTGGGGAGATCTCAGGGTTTTCCCCAACATATTTATAAGCTTTGAGGATTTCCCAAAAGATTCAATGGGTTTCCTCAAAGCATGTACGTAATTCAGCCAAAACCGTAGACCAGAGGAGATTCAGGTTTTTAGTGGCATTATCCTTAAAATTCAAGGTGTGGCTTCTCAAAAACTAACCAAATTGTCCGAAAAGTCCGAAAATTGGGGATAGGGGCGAAATAAACTACGAATATACTGTACATTCTCGCCTTATGTACCATACATTTAATATACTTAGGTGTCATTAAGTTGATTATTTATGGGTAGATTTATCACACAAGACTTACAAGTGATATGACGGGATAAAAAGTCAAAATTCGATTGATTTACCCATGACGATTTTTGTTCAACATTAATTCCGTCTTAATTCAATAAGATGATTACTCATTATAGTATTTGTTTTGTTTTTCCGCATGACATTTTATTCTGCATAATATAGGATATTCTTGGATTAAGTTAACATGAATTATATTGAACATATGACTTGTCATAACAAAGTATTTTTCATATGTGATTGTAATCTAATTATTAATCAAAAATGAGTGTATGAATCAATATACAAATAAATGTATTTCCGACCAGACTTGCCGCAGTTACTCGTGCTTTTAGCTGCATGTGGAATATTTACCTTTTCCGAACTTGGACTTTTCTCTCAAGTCAGCGGGTCTGAGACGCGTCGGAATAGCTAGCTTAGCTGTCATTGTGTCAGAGTCTTCGTTTTGTTTTCAGATTAGGTGAAATCATAATTTCGTCAAACATGACAGAGACCGTACAATAATCATTAACGGAACTGTTTTGAATTGTATTGATCAAAGAAAATATTTTCATTGACCAACTTTGTCTGAAAGTTGAAAGTTTGGGGCTTCTGACTCCCAGCAAAAACATCGTACACTAAGTGCTTCTGTGTAGAAAGGAACAGGATCGACTATTTCACCTGTATTTAGGACTATCAATACCAGAAATGCCCTAATTCTAATGCTTTACTTGGTTTTAGGGAAAGTGGACATTTTTGAAGACGAGGGGCCAATCTTGAAAAATTCCACCTCACTGGGAAATCCCAAAATACTTTGCGTAATGTACACCGGATTAAAGAAAAACAATGTTTATACACTTCCAACCATATTTACACTAACTTATCATAAGGGATGTCCCTAGAATTTCAATTAAACTCGCTTATGTTTACCTCATTTACTTGCTAAAAATTTAAACTTTAGTAAAATTTTTACTGAAAAAAAGGTGAAGGTTCTCATAAATGAAGTTTTATGGGAAGCCAGTAATCAGAAATCAAAATTTAAGGTTACAAATATATACGAGATGGGTAACATTTGGGGTGAGACTATAATTTATGGACGACCTTTGAGCGACGATGAAGTGATCTTGAGCGTGAACTACTTACGATAACTAAATAAGGGTTATCAAGTAGTTAAAATTCTCATTTACAGTTGATGGTTAGGGTTATAAATTAGATTAAGGGTTTTCATCACGAACTGACAGTTATAAAGCCAAAACTCTAATTAGCCAAATGTATGGATGAATTCCGTGACAAACTTCATCACTTTTTTATCTTATATCTGATTGGTTGGTCCATAAATTATAGTCTCGCCACATTTGGCAATCAACAGGTTCGCTTGCAACCTGATTGTAGCCAATCTCCCTATTTTCGGGAAATTTTCGAGTTCTCCAGACATGTGTTAGCTTGTGCTTTTTAAGACCATGTACCAACCTTTAAATTTCAGTCGCGTTCGCTAAAATTTTCCACTACAATTTTTTCAAATTTCCCCAAGAATCGGGAAACTAGATACCTTGAATGTTGGGAGGATGTGAGTAGAGCTTGAGAAGTTGAAGAAAAGGCAGACCAGGCACTCGATTAACACATTATGGTCACTTACACTAATTATTTTAAGCGACAGACAACAATTGGGAATAAGACAAGCACAAAAGTTAGGCGACCTGACAACCAGAGTTAGAAGCTGTTACGCAGATTTCGAATGTTTTGCCGTACAACTTTAAATGCCCAATCTCTGAAACAGTTGAAACCAGTACGGATCTGTGTTCTCGCATTATGATGTTGAGGGATTGTCGCATGACTTTCAGATCACGCCGCCAAGTCGGCCTCAGAACGTGAGCCGGAGATATGCCCATATTTTTGTCCAGTCAATAACACCGTTCTACCATTAAACACAAACTCTATGCTGTAAATTTCATTGATAAGAATGCCACAAGAGCCAAAAGAAATTGTATGATTATCACAACACTAATCCATTCAAGATTTACATTAACTGGTTGCCGTTGAAGACTTTTCTAATAATAAGTTGTGGTTTAATGGAAACGGAATATGTGGCGGACTGCTCGTGATCAGTGAAATTGATTCTTGAGTCAGTCTGGCAGACTTTGTGAATTCTTATCATCAGTTTTCGGGAGCGAGTCGAGTATAAACATGAGGTGGCTTGGTAAAATTCTAGCTCCTGTATTACCGGTGAAATGTCACTGTACTCTATTCAGATCTAAAATATCCCCATGCTTGATGAATAGTTGGACAGTTTATCGAACATCTTCAACGGCAAGGGTGGCCACTGTGGACAAAAATGCATGTCATGAAGAGGCCAACGCTGCAGTGGTGCCACTCGGCTTCATCAACCCATTTTTACCAATATGTTTCTTCAAAAGCATCGTTTTATTTCTGTGCTTTCATTGAGGCAACAACAGTTTCTGGGTAGCGCAAAGGACTTTTGATACAAACCACAAAAAGTAACTCCAACGTAAGCAAGGACATGCCGTCCCCGTCCATCTTGATGAAACCACGAGCATCCACAAAGACCACATGCATTGGTTATTTCTGTCATGTATGTTGAGAATGTGTACCATTTTTTAATTAGTTCATTGAATAAGAGGAAGTCGTAGAATTATGGTCTACTACGATATTAGTGGTGCTACAATAATAAAACTAATCCTAAAATTGTAGATTTGTCATTTTATAACTGCCTAATCTATAAGATCTTATGTGGAAGGTACATCATCGTCTACACCAACTCAATGCATCGTAATAATTACCAATACATGATGGAGAACAAGCTTAGGCTGGAGATTGAACAGTATATTTAATATGAATAAAAGATATAAGGTGACATTCAGCATAGACCATGCCTGAAAGGCCGAGTCATGCCATCCGATCAACTGGAATTCATTCAATTCATTTTTCCCGACTTCCCCATCGTGTGGTTCTTCACCACGTTGAGTGCTGAACACCTATCTTCCTAAGTGTCCCCTGTTCATATTTGAGGATTGCGTGATCAGAGCCCAATGCCACTACAAAGTCTTTTTGGGATTCAAGACACTAAAACACTATGTGTTCTTTCATTTCGAGCAGTTTGTATAGTTTTTAAGAGGAAAGTGTAGTGGTAGACGACTTTTCTTGAATTCATTTCTGGAACTACTCTTAAGGGATCAATCGTACTAAATTACTTCATATCTTTTTGTGATTTCAAACACAATTTGAAATCTTCCACTTTTAAGCTCAAGCTTTACCCAACTGGAACTCATAGG